TCCTTTTAGTTTTTAAAAGCTCTGTCGCAAACACACATGCTTTTCTTCAAACTCTCAAGCACTTTTCTCACTCCTGCAGCTGCTAAGATGATGGTGTATCTTGACTCGTCGACGGAAACGAAGGCAGCAGAGCTGGCCACTGCACTAGATGAGTCACTTGATAACAGATCCATACAGGTATACATTAATGCAATGTGAGAACTGTCTGGTAAAATGTTGGAATAAATACTATCAATGGCAGTGACATTCTGTACATTGATACCACATTGAAAATACTTTTATCGATGTAGTCCTTTTACTGTTGAAAAAACGTCCCATTTTCATTTTTCTTCCCTCATTAGATTAGCACAGAGGTCTTGGAGTGTCTTCGGAGCGGCGTCCTGGGCGACTGTAAGGAGCGTGCAGAGTCTTACCGCGCCGAGTGTCACAAGCTTTACCCCTACACGTTAGCTTTCACACCCCCTGGATACGAGGAGAACACCAAGATCGCCAATGGAGACGTTTCCACGGAAATGGAAGAGCTAGCCAATGAGATGTGAGCGCAACAGAACAACAGCAGATGAGAAAAGGAATTGGACCGAGCACGGAGCCTTGTGGTACGCCTGGCAGCCGTTTTGTAGAGCCAGACACGGGAAGCGAAAATTTTGGTGTTTCGTTCTTTGGCTCCGCTTAATCGGGTCTGACCTGGCATGGCTTGGCTCTCTCCCACATGGTGAAAATCAGGACTGTGAGTGTGAGAGTGAGTGTGTGTGTGTGTGTGTGTGTGTGTTGAGAGCATGATTGTGTTTATTTGTGGGAAGGGGGGGGGAAGAGGAAGATAACAGAATGGCCATTTTACTTTTTTAATAGAGCTGACAACCATGCTGAATATGAAAATAAACAATAGTTACTGGCAAACTGACTAACATGGACTGTCGGTTTCCTCAGAAATTATCAATAACGGTGACAGCAACCACTCGAGTTTGACTCAGTGCTGCTCCGACACACGCCTATTGCATACTGTGTTCCCCTTATTTTAAAAAGCTAATTTAATTGAAAATAGGACACAACTGTCACTGGGGGACGGGAGGCTGAGCTGAGTGGATCTGAGCTGTGACAGATCTGTAGGAAGCTGAGCAGGAAGAGATACTGAGGACCTGAAGGAGACACTGAGGACATCCAGCGAACCACAGACGTATCTGTATCTGCTGTTACGCTCCAGTAAACCGCCGATCTACATGTGGCAGCGCAGCAGAGTGTGCGAGGAAGGCCCGATCTCTGCGGGAGCACAGCACGAAAAGAGTCGCCTCACACGTGAACTGTTTTTTTTGTTTTTGGTCAGACTGTGCTTCCCTCACCGTTCCTGGTTAAACTTGGGAATATGTAATCCTCTGTCTGTTATTATGGAGCACCTCGTAGCACAGATTAAAAACTGTAAAGGTTGTGTGTTGTGCTCCATTTCAAATACACTGCTACTCTTAACGTTTTTACATAGTTCTGAGAGAGTTGGATAGATCTAAGCAATACCATAGACACCTTCCTGTCCATAATGGATCAATGAAACTCCTATTATTGATATTGATTTCCAGATCAGTTTGAAGTGGTTACACTGAGCCACCTGGCAGAGTCACTTGTGTTGTTACTGTTGTCACAGTTAGAAATGATTTTATCTGCATGTACACAGGGACTCTTGTCAAAGTGGAAACGAGCCTCCAGTACATCCTACTTCCGAGTCTCTGCTAATAAAAATGGCTCCTCTAAAGGTCAGAGTTCAGCATCCAGGCCCGTTGCCCCGAGGTGACAGACGTGAAAATGTTACAAAGCGAGTAACTGTATGGGCACCTGGAATTTGTTTTACTTTTTCTGTTCCCCCGTATTTTTTTCCAATAATCTCTTTTCTTCCCCTATTTCCTCATATTTGGGTTCTAATGTGAAAGATTAAATCTGAGATGGCGATGTATGATATCTCTGGATTTTTGTATTAAAACCAAATGAAAGAAAACAATCGACTTCTTTGAATCTATGTGTTAAACTGAGTGGCTGGCATGGATCAGGTCAGATCATGGTCCTCAGATGTAGCCCAATGTATATAAAATAGATTTGGTTTGTTAGGGTTTTGTATTTATAACCAACTCTAAGACGGAGTTTAAGTCAAACTGAGCAGATTTTTGTTATCGGTGCTTTAGTTAAGGATGTCCTGGGGACAATACAAATAGCTGGGACATAAGTGTCTGAGACAATTTGGCAACAGTAGAAATATGTATCATTACAAATTAAATGATGACATTTGTGTCATTGCATATAAATAATTTTAATTGTTGGGTGTACAAATTTTAAAATTGGTGGTACCAGCACAAGCTCTACGCTGCATCACATGCGCACTTACACACAGAAAATCAATCTTAGTGAGCGAGAGAGACTTTTCACTGGGCTTTATTTTCTAAAAGTCAACTAGTGACAAATTAAGTGACTTATTTAGACCATCAGGGAAAAGGAGAGAAATATATTAAAATATATAATATCCTAATATGACCTCTCTTCATGTAGTTCCTATAGCTTGTAAATATGTACAGTTGAAACCAGAAGTTTACATACACTGTATAAAAAGACACAATCTCTTTTTTCTCTCTGACATTAAATCAGATTAAACGTTTTCCTGTTTTAGGTCAATTAGGATTACCAAAATTATTTCTATTTGCTAAATGCCAGAATAATGAGAGAACTTTTTAGACAATGTTTTTTATTACTTTCTTGAAAGTCAGAAGTTTACATACATTTCATTAGTATTTGGTACCATTGCCTAACTGAGGCAAGTTTGTAGGCCGCCTTGCAGCCATTTCAGCTCTGCCCATAAATGTTCAATAGGATTGAGATCAGGGCTTTGTGATGGCCACTCCAAAACATTGACTTTGTTGTCCTTAATCCACTTTGTAACCAGTTTGGCAGCATGCTTCGGGTCATTGTCCATTTGGAAGACCCATTTGCACCCAAGCTTTAACTTCTTGGCTGATGTCTTGAGATGTTGCTTCAGTATTTCCACACAATGTTCTTTATAAAGTGCACCAGTCCCTCCTGCAGCAAAACAACCCCACAACATGATGCTGCCACCCCCGTATTTCACAGTTGGGATGGTGTTCTCAGCCTTGCAAGCTTCCCCCTTTTTCCTCCAAACATAACGATGGTCATTATGGCCCAACAGTTAAATTTTAGTTTCGTCAGACCACAGGACATGTCTCCAAAAATTAAGGTCTTTGTCCCTGTGTGCATTTGCAAACTGTAATCTGGCTTTTTTATGTTTCTTTTGGAGTAATGGCTTCTTCCTGGCAGAGTGGCCTTTCAGCCCATGTCGGTACAGTACTCGTTTCACTGTGGATAAAGACACACTCTTACCAGCTTCAGCCAGCATCTTCACAAGGTCTTTTGCTTTTGTTCTTGGGTTGATATGCACATTTCTGACCAAAGCAAGTTCAACTCTGGGACACAGAACCCGTGTCCTTCCTGAGCGGTATGATGGCAGGACATTCCCATGGTGTTTATACTTGCGTATAATTGTTTGAACAGATGAACATGGCACCTTCAGGCATCTGGAAATTGCAGCCAAGGATGAACCAGACTTGTGCAAGTCCACAATTCTCTTCCTGATATCTTGGCTGATTTCTTTTGACTTTCCTATGATGTTACACAAAGAAGCAGTGTGTTTCAGGTGTGCCTTAAACTACATCCACAGGTGTGTCTCTAATTAACTCAAATGTTGTCAATAAACCAGAACCATCAGAAAAACAGGAAAAGTGATTGTCTGATTTCATGTCAGACAGTGAGAAAAAAAAGCGTATGTCTTTTTATACAGTGTATGTAAACTTGTGGTTTCAACTGTATATAGTTAATTTGACCTTCTCTCTCATTGGGTTACGCTGTTCCTTTAGCTTATCTGTAAATAGTTTGAGCTTGCAAATATTTAAATTGTTTGTTTGATCTCTATTCCTTGCAGGTTTTTTTTTTTTTAAATCCACTGTATTGAATTTATGATTATTTGGCTAAATACTAATGTTCTTGGTGTGTGTGTGTATATGAATTTCCATTGCAGTATACCATCAGAAACAGGTTTGCATTTAGACTGCAGTTTGCAGTGATGCATTTATTGATTAGAAATAAACAAAAACAATAAACCAATGACTAAAGAATAATGAAAACTGATTGTGGTCAAACACCTGGGGTGAATTCTTTATTCTGAAGCAAACCCACAACAAACATACCTCGCTGTCACTGTCCTTTCCAGACACTTGTCTTATTGGCATCTTTTCTGATTCATTGTTTTAGCTGTTCAGATTGAGCTTCCTATCGTGACATTTTATGCCAGCAACACTCATGCAACAAGTGTTCCTGTTTGACTGTTCAGGCCCATGTGAGCTTATAGCAGAGCCAAGAAACCACAGATTTTTACAAAATTTTGTATCAAAGTAGGAAATAGATCTTTACTGTATTTTTTGAGATCTATACGAAATAACTTATGGTTGCAGTATCAATACAGGGGAACTAAATATAAAATAAAGTTAATACAGATTTGGTACTTGCTGAGGTGCACTCAGACACATCATTCCTTGGCTCACATCTGACAGGAGAGCAGTCAGTGGGGCAGTGGGATACAGGGGTAGACAGACACATGACTGCAAGGTAAAATCTACCAACAAGGAGCAGCAGCATGTTCCTCTGACAGGGCAGGTGAGTGGATGAGGGAGCTGCTTTTGCTATGAATGGAGGTGTTTCAAAGTTTGATTCAGTATGTAGGTTGGAAATCTCGGTTGCATAATAATAAAAGTGTATCTGTGTGCAGCAACTAACGTATAAGTAGAACTTGTAGAATGAATGTAGACATGAATTAAACATTTGTAAGAAAAAGTTCGGGGGACTTGTAACAAAACAGAGGAATCCACCATGTTTATCTGCCTAGAAACTGAGGCCATGCACTAATGCCTGCTCGTCATTTGATCAACTCTCCTCCCATCGACTCCAAACACATCACCATGCTGTCAAGTGAGCCTCCCGCTCCTCCTTTCATTCACGCTGCTCAACGCCGCGAAGAGCTTCCAAGCAGCTTGTGGGCTGAAAGTCTACACTTACCCATCAACAGAGAGTGTGTTGTAGCAGAATACTTCAGTTCAGACCTGGTGAGGCTTCCTCTGCAGGGACCTTTCTGGTAACGCAGAGCGCTGAATGGAGTCGTCTCTTGAGTTTTCCAACTCTTTGGGCAGCGTGTCCTCGCTGCTGACTCGCTGTCGGACCTTTAAAGTTCTGGTGATAGGGGACTCCGGGGTGGGGAAGACCTGCCTCACACACCGACTCTGCGCCGGGGAGTTCCCCGGGAGAGTGGAGGCCACCATCGGCGTGGACTTCCGCGAGAGAGTGCTGGATGTCGATGGCGAGAAAATTAAGGTAAATGGTGGAAGTTTTGGCATCACTTAAAACAAAAGAATGACACAGTGTACAGAGGAAGAAGAAGAACAGGAGCAGGACGGCTGTCATATTTGAATAAACTGACAGCTAATGAAGGTATCCACAGACTGTTGGCTCTTTCAGGTTGTGTGTTAATCACTTGTTATTCACATTGAAGTCAGTGCTCTTCATGGGCACAGTTGAACTAAAGAATCAACCTGGACAAACCTTTAAAGCACCCGGGACTGTCTGTGCAAGAGAGGCCACAGTGTTCCTGTTTGGCTCCTACAGGTTGTTTAAGAGCGTCTGGGCTTTTTAACCCTGACTTTATTGGGTTTTATACTGCTTTTATATCTCCTCTGTTGGCTCTAAATGTTCCAAGAGGCTCTTTCAGTAACATCCTACACTGCAGTGTGGCTCTGCTGAATTCACACACAGTTATTTGTCCCAGACTGAATGACAGAGAATTCTCTGGATGACAGAAAATCAGCAGACCTGCCTGCTTGCAGAACTAATGCAGCCTGTTAATCACTGTGGACAGTAAATGCTTGATTTTAGAGGCATGTTAGCTGTTACATTAGCATATATACATGCACATTCATCTAATTCAGCTCTGATTTTGAATCTTGCTGTTGTAATGTGAGGCTGTACTGTAAGTTTAATTAAAACACGATAAAGGACTTTGTTTATGTGATGATTCTATTTTAAAACTGTGGCTGTTAGTTGGTTTGTGCTATTTCCTGAGAGTTTTGAAATGGCCACATGACAGAGGAAGTGTCTTTCAGTGGTGGATTTGTGCTGAGGAGGTTTCAAGTTTTGTTTCCAGTAGGCATTCAATTGATAAGGGGACTTTCTGGGGTCCAACAGAAGTTTCAGGTCAGTCAAGTAAAGTTTCAGTCCAAACCAAGTCTCAAGACAAGTCTTAGATCAATAAAGACAAGTCTCAAGTCAATAAAGTTTCACATCTATCAAGCAAAATCTCAGTCCAAACTAAGTCTGAAGCCAGTCAGGCAGGTCCAATTTAAGTCACAAGTCCTCTAAAGCTAATTCAAGTCGACATTCAAGACTAACAATTAAAATGACTTTTCTTTCTAATCTGCGTTTACAGTTTTTTATACAAAGCTGAGGCCGAGTCCTTTCAAAGCACACCCCTAATAATCCAATATGTGAGCTGTGTGGCTAAGCCAGGCCTGCCTCTAGTCTGTTTGTCATTTTTTTGTTTTCACTGTTGTTGTGTTGTTGTATTATGTCTGTGTTATTTTGTGTGTTATGTGTCAAATTGATCACATATTTTAGAAGTCACATGGTGTATCATCGATTGGAATTGACATTTAGAACTTCATTTTTCAAGGAAAGCCCGTCAGAGAGCTCTAAACTTTCTAACCACCATCAACGTGTTTATTCCTTTTCTTTGTTCCTTCTCAGTTATGACTCACTCAATGTGTGTGTGTGTTTTCTTCTGTCTTGTTTGGGCTATTTCAACACATGATTTCTTTTCCTTACGTGCCTTCCTACTAATTCATTTCCTCTTTGTGACTTTTTCGTCTCGACCACCTCACCCCCTCAGTGCCAGCCACTGAGAAGAACCCACACGTCAGTCTCTCACTTTCTCCTCTCGTTTCCCCCTCCCCACCAGCTCCAGCTGTGGGACACAGCGGGACAGGAGCGTTTCCGTAAGTCCATGGTGCAACACTACTATCGTAACGTCCACGCTGTGCTCTTCATATATGATGTCTCCTCGCCTGCCAGCTTCAGCGGCCTGACTTCCTGGATAGAAGAGTGCAGGCAGAACTCTCTGGGACAGGGAATCCCCAGGTAACTGCACCAGCCATCTGCATGTACTGCTACTCACTGAAAGGACAGGACTCTTTGATTTAACAATAACAAACCTTCAACCAGTCAACACCCTGCATCCTTTTGTGCAGTTCTTACTCATCCTCTTCCATCGCCTATTCTCCACCTAGGTTCCTTGTGGGCAATAAGAGTGACCTCCGTGACCACCACAGGACTGACGGCCAGGTGAGCCAGGAGCAGGCGATGAGCTTCGCCAAAGCTCACGGCATGATGTTCTTTGAGACGTCTGCCAAGAACCCGCCAAGCAAATGCGCGAGCGGTCGGCGAGGTGATGGGGAGGTGCCGTATCAGCAGGATAAGGTGGAGGACATTGTCGTTGCTGTTGGTGCCAAACTGAAGAGGCAGAAGAAACCTTCAGCAGCGACCGCCCCGGCGTACAGCGGGTCCTTTAGAGTCCTGAACAAGAAAGTACCAGATAAAGAGATGTGGACCTGCTGCTGAGACAGAGAGAGGGAACTGTTGGCCCTTTCAGATGGAAGAATGTGACTTTGGAGCTCTTTCTGATCGACTGTGTGAGGATGTATGTGTTTGTGTGTTTGTGCGAGTAAGAGCACCATATTGAGCACAATGTTCACTTCTGACCAAAGAGCCAAAGTGCAAAACTTTTACATTTGAAATACAGTTGCTGTTACACCCACACAGAACTTTAATATTTATGCTCTTAAACATGTGAGATATCCCATTTGGAAATGTTGTGTATATTTTTGATTTTATTGTTTACAATAGCTGCAAAATAAAAGACTGTGAATGTAAGCATTATTTGGTGGAGGCTTTGATCCAAGTGAGCTTTTAGTGCAATGACTAATTTTCAGCATGTGTGGTCTCACTGGGAACATATATGTGGCTGTGCTCATCGTGTGCAGCATGAATCACCTGGCGGGGTTTTCTCACAGCATCTAAACACTGTCGGATCACATGAGGGTTAAAAATAATGTGCATTAGCTCTATAACCATTAAAGGACCAGTTTGTAGGATTTATTGATATATAGCAGTGAAACTTCAGATTGAAACTAACTGAACACTGCTCGCGTCTGTATTTGACTGCCTGTAAATGAGAACGGGCTGTAAAGTGTGCAGAAGAACCTACGGTGGCAGCAAAACTCACAAAAAAACAAAAAACCGAAGGCCCTATCTACAGTTAGTGTTTTTTGCCTTCTGGGCTACCGTAAAAACATGGCGGTTCAACATGGCGGCCTCCGTGGAAGAGGACCTGCTTCCTCTATAGATAAAAACGTTTCATTTTAAGGTAACAAAAACACAACAACTCTTATATTCAGGTGATTATACACTAATGATAGTTATGTTTCACACTAGACCTTTTAGATCTGTTTATTATTTCATTGACAGTCACCACTTGGATGTTGACATGAATGTCTGGAAAACTGGAAATTACAGTAACTCCAGTATAATATGAATGTGGCAAGAGTGTACACAATTTACATGATTTGTAGTGGAGCCCAGTTTGACCTGCATCATGTGGACAATGTGTAGAATTACATAATTCCAAATTGAAATGGCAGAACAGCTTAAGCTTATGTAACATGACGCATTTCTTATTAAAACTGAATTTGCAAACAGGAAACATGCGCATTTGGAAATGTCAAGTAACATTCAAACACACACCTCAAACCCATGATATTGCTCCACTAGCATGTGACTTTGCCAATGGCCCGGTGCAGTGTTAGCGAGACGCATTAATTTGACCGGATAAATGTATGTACAGGCCCCGAGTCATCAGATGTAGCTCAGCACAATGCTGGAAGAGAAAAGAAGCATTTAATACTAAAAAAAACATATATATGACAAACTAAGAGATATAACAGTTAATGTGGGGACACAGGGTGAAATTTTTAAAAATATATTCTTTATCCTGCCGTGTCTTTTATGTACAGATGAAAACAAATCATGGCCCTAAACAGCTTTTTAAATGACTACAACTACCTGGCTCACTTTCAAAAACATCTGCCTGTCCTGACTCACTAAATGTTACTCTGTATGTGAGTCACTTTAATACAGTGATGTTACAGGACAATCTCCTCCTGGCTGTCAAGGGCTTCCCACCACAGGACTGTGTCCAGATGGATAAATCACAGCAGTCATGCACTGGTCTTGTGCATGAGCAGTGTGGGCGCAGGAAAGTGCATCACATGTGTTGCAACTGTGCGTCCAATCGATGATTCAGAGGTCATCACATGCTTCTGCTCAATGGTCTGGACAACTGTAAGATCCTGAAACACACCAGGGATAGAGGCAGCTCTGTTTTGTGTGTGTGTGTGTGTGTGTGTGTGTGTGTGTGTGTGTGTGTGTGTGTGTGTGTGTGTGCGCGCACAAGTGTCACTCTGGTGCAACATTCAACAACCAAATAGTAGATGTCTTTCTTTGGACTAACGAAAGACAATAACTGGAGGAGGAGAGAACTTCCCAAAGCATTTTTTTTATTATTTGCCATGACAAAATTCGAGAATTAAAATGCACTGTACTGAATATCTGGAAATAATCACAGAACATGCAGAAAATGAAATTCTCCATATTGCTGACTGTTTACTGTGATCAGCTACATCATTTCTGACTGACATCTGCCAGTTTTGTGTGTAATAGATTTCCAGAGTAGCAAGGTGCTGTACCTCAGAGACTGCCTACTTCAAGGGGCATTCCACCAATTTCACACATCAAGATCAATTGACTTGCCATGGAGAGCACTACTCAGCTTGTGGAAACAGAGGTGAGCTTCAAGTAATTCAATTATCCACAGATATGTCATAGTGATGTCATCAGGGATCAGGGACGTTACAACCAAATTATTTTACAGTTACAAACCGGGGAACTTTTAAAGACATGAGAGTTTACGGGCAGACAGGAAGGGACAAACTAGAGTTGCATTATGGGCAGGCCTGGCCCTCACCAATTTGACGCCCTAGGCAAGATTTTAGGTGGCGTCCCCCTTACATCGCAGTAAATTCTACTGCCAGTTATATACATACATATACTCACGAAAGAAACCGAATAGCTTTGTCTTTGACATTTTATTTTATTTTTTAGAGAAACAAGTTGCTCAATCACAACAGTTAACAAGAAAATAGTAAATTAAACTTAATAATACAAGAAATGACAGGACAGGAGGATCACTTGATACTGTTGAAGTGGCGATGACTGTAGATGGCCCACGATTTGCAGGAGGTGGATTTAGATATTTCAACAGCGCATCTGAAGAGAGAAGAGGAGTAAGTGACACCGTTGGGTGTTACAGTCTAATAATAAAAGAAACGATTCCAAGAATAAAATTAAATAATAAAATGGAAAAACCTAAGAGATGCATTACTTTCACTGTACTGTACATGAATGATATACACTGCAATTTCTTCTGATATGCAAATTAGATTAGATTTAATCTTATGGTCATTACAGTGAAATGCTGATGAGCAGAATGCAAAGAAGCAGTAAACTGCAGTATAATATAACATATGGGAATGTATTAACATTAATGATGTGCACTTTAACATGGATGTAAAGTTTAACACTATAAACACACTTTAGACAATACTGAACTATAACACAACAAACAATAAGGCTTACAACTCTAATATATAAAGGTGTGTGAAAGGAATAGCATTTGACTGACTGTTACAAGCAGAGCAAACGTTAGCTGACCAATAATAAATACAAATAAAAATGTAGACAAATGTAAACAGCTGCTGAATAGATCTACTCTTTACAAATGTCCCTGAGAAGTAGAAGGTGGGAGTATTATATATATTATTGGCCCCTCCATAACATGAACTGACGTTACTATCGTTCTGCAACAGACAAATCATTTCATCACATTATCTTTACTCTACCTCTGTCTTTGTCGTGTTTTTCCTCCTCTTCTTTTCATATTTTCCTTCCCTGGGCACCGGAAGGTTTTAGTCTTTTTTACATTGTTAATGGTTTCTGGGGTGATTCAACCATCTCTCAGAGAGCAGGTAGAGGATATTATTATTAAATATTATTATTTAATAGGCTTTGCTATGCAGTTAAATGAATATAGGCTTATTTTTTTCACACTAAGAAATAATAGCACCAACTAGTTTTAGTATAAAAACTAGTTGGTGGCTATTTTTTTCTTTTTCTTTTCTTCCCCCATTGTGGCGCCCCCTAGATGGACGGGGCCTGCCGGGCCGGCACTGATATGGGAAATACTGGATCCAGTGTTTAGGGAACAAAAAGGATATCCCAACATCTGCTGCTGCAATCCTGACCTTTCATTATTTTTACGTCCCTTGAGTGCAAGACAAAATCCAACCAGTAAACATGAAATTACTCACTTTAAAGTGAGACTATGTAACATTTAAAGGAACATATAACAAATTATTCTACTTACAAATGAAGAGATAATTTGATAAGCAATAAAACACCATCTTTCTCAGGTTAGTACACTTGGGGGTTTTGCCTTTCAGCCCAGCTTGGTCTGGTATGACTGGTGGTTGGGGGCTAATGTTAGCTATAGATACTGCTGTGTAACTGACATTTCTATTAGTATTAGGCTATATTAGGTTTTAGAATTCAAATTATCCTGGTCACAATTTAGCAAAAGTTACATAGGTTTTAAAATTGCTTCAGAAAATGTGAATATGACTGACACCGATGGTCAAATTCATAAATGTCTACCCATCTGTGATGTTTTCTACAGGACGTGTTATCTGAAGGTACATGTCTTATTAGTGTCCTGTTGAACCACTGGAGGGAGACAGACACAATGCACTGTAAACAATCAGCTGCAGTCAACTGAACAAGTGCAGCATTTCTAAAAGTCCACTCTTTATGTTTAAACATAAAGAAAACATCAACTTTATCACTCGTCTCTCATCTGTCCATCTAGTTTTGGCTTTGCTTGTCCAGTCAGAGCATACATGATGCAGGCCCACAATTCCGCGCTGCCTGAGACAGACAGTCGAGAGAAAAAAGGGTCTAAAGTTTTCAGGCTGACTGGTAAACTGTGTAACAGATGGAGAGGATGTAATGGCCTGGGTTTAGTCTGATTACAACAAAAAGTCAGTGACATTTAAATACTGTCAAAAGCAGAGAGGGCAGTCACTGCTGATTTAGGCTATTTTAAAGCTAGCTACCTTTCCCAGGTCAAGTTAAGCTGTTTTATTCTCCATGACTTTATTTAGCTGCACCTATTTTATGTAGGATAACAAAACTATCAAGGTATTCATCAAAAGTGATATATATATTGAATATGTGCTATATCTCACTAGCAAGCTTGAACTGGATTTGGATGTCTTCTGTTTGGTTTGGTTTTAATAGCCCATGTCTTCATGGAAATTGTACATTTCTATGGCATAAAGCAATGTTTTATACGTTATAACAAATGCCAACAAGACGTCAGATCTGCTGTTGACTATTCTGACTTTACTGCAGTTTGACTTTGTGCAGCAAAATAGCTCAGTGTGTATTATGCAACCACAGTTCACAGTCTCTTTCCATGCAACCACATGGGACTGTAATCCACTTGAAACCAGCATGAGGGACGTCTGATCCTCCACACAGTCACAGCACAGACCCACACACAGATTTTATCTCATTTTAGGAATGACTTCATCAAGTGGATTATACAGAATGTCACACAATAAAATACTGCAAGATCTGCCCCCAAAAATATTACATAATATCTAGAAATATTATATTGTCACTATAAGTCCATAATATCACAACACTGACTACTGCTGAATTACAGGTACTAACACCACAGTGTAGAAATATAAAAGGACTATTGTGAAAACATATTTAAAGTACCAAAAGTAAAAGTACATGTATACTCATTATACTGAAAGGCCAATTCCATCACTTTAATGTTGGTAAAGGTGGAGCTTTATGTACTGCTGAGTAGCACCTGAGGATCAGTAAGGTTTATCTTTATCTATAATAATGTATCATCATTTATTTATTGGTCATATTTTAATGGTCTTAATCTGTAAAAAATGTTAAACATAGGCAGTGGGGTAAAAAGAACAACAAAAAAACAACAAAAAAAAACAAAAGTTCCTCAGTAGGTGAGTGAAGCCTCGCAGTGCTCCGCCCGTCCCTCCTGTAGGGGAGGGGAGGGGGCGCTAGTGAGCTAATCTGTGTTGAAAGGGGGGGTGTCCTCTTTGCAATCAGCAGTCGCCAGCTGCAGCGGAGGGCTCTTCATCTTTAACCTGCTGCAGACACGCGGAGAGACACGCACTCGTTCACCTGCTGATAACCGAGCGAAGATGTTCTGCAGACGGGCATGGCAGAGGGTCGGGCCGCTGGCACGGTGGGCTTTGAAGCCGACATCCAGAAACGGTCAGTCCGTCACTCAGTTCACTTAATGACTTTTTAATGTTTCTACACGGTTTGCTGTCAGATTAATTGCAGTCATTAAAGTGGAGCAAAGCTGCCTCGTCCGTTTATCAGCGCGTCTTCATCAGCAAACTAATGGACACATTTCAAACATGTTTAAGTGTCTCACAGATTGTAAAACTGTACAAAGTGTGCTTATACTCGGACAAATGCAGAGATTATTCAAAACAATTTCTGCAGCAGAAATTCCTTTAACACATTACATCTTATTGCTTATAAGGAATAAAGTAAAATCCAACAAAGAGACATTGGTGGGATTTCCATTGTGCGGTCGTTCAGTCAGAGGGAGGTGTGTCCTGCTTTGGGAACACGCAGTTCTTGCACATAGATTATGAAAGAGCGCATCACACACGACTAAAACTCTGATTGATTTTAGCTTCTTTCTTTTTTTTAGCTAAGCGAGTTGCATCAAGTGCACTTGATGTTTTGTGCAGATATTAAAGCCTTTAAGCGTGTAGTCCGGTATTCGTAAATAAATAACGACCTATAAGCGATTCTTGCTAATGGTTACACGTTGTCCCAGGACTTCTGTTTGTGAGTTGGACCACATGGAGATCAGAACACAAGTTTCAGCCCTCTTCAGTATGAGAATCATATAAAAAAACAAAATCGATTTAAACAATGTATGAAATGTCTCTACACCCATTACATTTGAATCATTATTAAAAATGAATCTGCTGATGCATTTGTATTTTAAACCTCACTTTGGAGGGTTGCATGTGAGCTGAAGGGGATTTGAGACTTGATCACTTGTATTTTTAGGACGTTTTCTCTTTTCACGCGTCCTTGCACAGATCATCCTTTACTTTGGGATCCGAGCATGTGGAATTCAGCCTGAGGGCAAACTGCTGCTTTAATTTCCTGTTTTAAAAAGAAAAACCCTGACTAAGGGTGCAGATGAAATAAATTCTATCTGCCAGACCAGAACTGCATGTGTGACAGCATACCAGTACTGTCCTGGTTGTCCTGCAGGTCTGCTGGTCTCCTCCCTCATTCTGTCTCAGTGAGCATGTGCAGTTGACAGACAGTAGCAGGGGAGTACACAACATACTGGCTACACACATGTTCCACTGCACACGCATGTCAGCCAACAGCAGCCATCTTGTCTGCTGTTGGCTGACATGCGTGTCCATTTTTACAGGCTTGAACCCTCACTGCAGGGATTAACTGATTACTTATATAAATAACCTGTACTTGGCCTTGTCCCTGCACAGTGCTGCTGTGTCATGGGTATTACAGGAGGGAGGACTTACTGTTACGTTGGCTCAGCATCCACAACAAGACAACATACAGCTCTTGTTTTGGTTTCATACATAGTTGTATTAATGTATCGCTGGTAATTTTGTGGTAATCCATTTAAATATGTATCTTGAGCCAGCAGCCACGTAGCGTAGTTTAGCTTAGCATAAATTGTGGGGTAAACTGCCCAGAGGGTCACAAAATGTGCACACGATAGTGCACTAAAATGTCGGTACAAAAATGAAGTGTAGACACGACAGTGGCTAGTTTCCCATTGTTTCGATTCTTTATGTGAAGTTCATCTAAGCAGCTTCATGTTTAACAGACACAAAAGAGCACAATCAAAAGTCTCGGCAAGAAAACAAAATGTATATTCCAAAATGTCAAACTATTCCATAAATATTAAACTCCTTACATTTTGTCACATTGTTTTCACAGTGTCATTTGAACTTTATAATGGATCGATTATGGGGCGTCGCTGTAGCTCACCTTGTAGAGCTGGCGACCCATGTACCATGACTGACACGGCCATGGGTTAAAATCTGACCTGTGGCCCTTTCATCCTGTCTCTCTACCCACTTTCATATCTAACTTGAGCTTTTCTTCCAGTTGAAGGCAAAATAATACATGGGGAGTAGGGATGTAACGCTTCTGAACTGGAGAGGATAAATATTTAGGATTGGTTCTACACCATTACTGAAGGGACGTTGTGCCTAATTTTATAGTTATTGCCTAATTGATGACCTTTGGCCCTGATCCAGCACAAGCTGCTTTGTACATTTTATTTTATTTTTTAATAATTTTTTTAAATAAGATGAAAACATTCAAGCTGACAGCTTCAGGTTTGAGTGATCAGCTGTTTTCAGACATTTTTAAAATCGGTGATTGATTGAATAGGATTTCAATGTTATGTAAATGCATGACCGGTTAAACATGTTGTGACTGCAACAGGTGAACAGTCATTCATGTCTCCATATATAGATGCAGGTTGTCAGTGTAAAAGTCACGGATTGAGAACACACATGGAACATGGGGAGGACAAAAAGGGGCGGGGGTGTGCTGTACATTGTGTTCTTTACTGCTTCAGAGGGCATATGCAGCTTGCTGAGTAAACTTTTTGCATTGTACGCACACAGACGTGTGTTTGTGTACATCATGCTAAAGATATCATATGTACTTTGACTGTGTGTGTGTGTGTGTGTGTGTGTGTCTTCTAGGTAAGAAGAGATTAGGCTAAAGCAGTGTTTGGGATGCAGGGTGGTTTTATTTATGGCCTCCTCTGCATGCACCACTGGCAATCCTTTAAACACCAGCAAATCTGTTCACATGGCGCACAGGCTGCATCCGGCCACACTTACCTCTCCACCACAACAACAATATCTTGTGAAGAAGCTTTTGACAGATCCTCAATTTAGTCCTGATATATGTGTTGAGGGACTTGTTCATATAAATTCAAGCCCACCAGATCATTTTGAAGCTGTTTGTTTTTTGATGCAAATCTGAGATCATCGAGCAGGAAGTGTTCGAGTGTTTGTGTGCTTGGGATTTAATTAAGGCACTATTCTTTGTTTAGCTTGGCTGCTGCTAAATCTTTCCATCTCCTCAGCTACAAATCACCAGGGCTGTATGTGTAACTGGATTAAGGGATGAAGACAAGTTGACGCTATCAGAATGCACTGCTCTTTGTGCCAAGTTGTACTTCTGATGGGACCGTTTCCTCAATAAAACACCCACAAATTATCAATGTGTCGTACTTTATAAATTATTATTATTGATGCTTATTTTAGATTTCATGACACCAAAAAGCAAATGTGTGGCCTGTGTTCAGTCAGTTCAGTGGTTGAATGAAGGCACCAATAACTATCCATCACAGTCCTAAATTACAATCCATTCTAATTATATAAATGTCAGTAAATGTTGGCTGGAGGTCAGCCTATAGTCACATTTCCAAAGCAACCCTGTAACTCTGCCCCCCTGTCTCTCTCAGCAGCTCCAGTGCGACACATGGCCTTCGGGGTTCCTGGTGGCTCCTCCAACATGGCGTACTTTGTTCTGTGCGGTGGAGGCCTCACTGCTGCCGTCGTCTATGTGAGTATCCGTGTGAGATTTCTCCATTCCAGCTTTACCTTCGGTTTTGTAGTCGATGGCTTGTGTGTCTACATTGTAGGCCTGTTGTCTATCTGCTGTGTGTATTCCACTCAAAATCTGTCCTGTCGGCGCAACTTGAACTTGAAGTTCAAGTTCAATTTATTCCACATAGTAAAGGACATCAAAAGTTAGAAGTCCAGGACTGTGGATAATAAAGTCAAATTATTTAAGTCGAAGTATTTTCCATTAGATTTATGAATGTATTTTTATACACCATATTAATACAAATTAGTTTTTAACAAATTGTCAGCTGTGGACAGGATGGAAAATGGCTTCTTATATTGTGAGGGGGAAAAAAGGTGAATTTAAAAATAGATTTATTTGTTGACAGGTTTGTATGGAAAACTTCCAGAAAGTTAAAAACCATCAGGAAGCAAACTCCTGTACACCGTCTTTACTTCCATTTAACTTGATTGCTGCAGCTCTTAGATCACAGTGCATTTATCGGTCAGGATGAGCTCTTCTTTCCTGGTGAAGAAGAAATAGATGTTTGAGTTCATAAAGCTGGACTGTGTGCAGCAGACGTCACCACAGCTCAGACACGGGAAGGGACATGCTGTACAAGGGTCTTTGTGCTTTCTACATGCTGCTATTGTCTGGGCAGAGTTGTTTCTGTTTACTGTCAGGCTCTTGACAAAGCAAAGTGTGTGTCAGTTATGTGGGTTCATGTTCATGACAAAATGTCAGTGTAAGGTGGCATTTTGTAACACTTACGGTTTTATACTGTTATCATTTGACGTGTGCTGGAATGTAATAAGTACATATCTGCCCTCTTTCTCTCAGGCCTACAAGACGGTCAACGGTGATAGTGAGCGCTATGAGGACAGACTCGCCAGCATGGGCTCCACAGCAAAGGGTCAGTATGAGCTTTCAGTAAAAGAAACCACAATTTGTTTTGTAAATTGACTAAAAATTCTATCAATTTTGTTGTTGACAAACCTGTATCCAGTTTGTTTTAGTTCTGTTCACTCAATCTTGTCTTAATATTTCTGAATCTACCAACCTCAAACGTCAGATAGCCAGGTTTTAATTGGGCAACTATGTTTCTTCTAGATAAGTTGAATGTGTGACATTGGTTTTGGGCCTTACTTTGCTCAGTGTATATAAGTACTGATGAACTGAATAAAAAATGGTTCTGCGAACAGAAAGGAGAGGATCTTGCTTTATTTCTGAACTGGTTCTGGCTCCACCACCCAAATCTCAAACATGGTAGAATGATCACTCTCAATAGCTTTAACTTGCCTGTCTGTTTTGATTTCTGTCTGCAAATTATTTGTCTATTCAGCCAGTTTGAGCCCGGGGAGATTGTGGCACTGCGCCCAGAGCAGCTAACTAGTCTGTAATGGGGCTGAGCAGCGGCTGCCACTGGTTCAGTGTACATTCAGCCTGCAAGTGTTGTTTTTAGTCACAAATGCATTATGAAGCTGTGCTGGCTGCAGTGCTGGCCGTTGTTTTGCTTTGGCTTTAAACTTGCCAGTGATCCCATTATGTAATCAAGCAAACATTTCCAGGAAAACAAAGTCACAGAAACATCTTGATGCACACTGTGATGGTGATTAAAGTGATTGTGATCAAGGATCATATTGTCCTGACACATTAATCTGAGGACACATCACTGTGTACTCACTCACTCCCTCACTCATTGCAGTGCAAGTTTAGGGTTCTATAGCAGCACAATCAGGTGGGTCGTTTGTTTGACGTGATAACTAAGCTCCATCTCCTTTTGAGGTTGGTAGATTCAGAAATATTAAAAGATTGAGTGAACAGAACTAAAACAAACTGGATACAGGCTTGTATCCAGGCAATTTATGGAGTGCATCTTGATATAAAAACCTGTAAAGAAAACCTGTTAACATAATGAACTAAATGGATATTAAGCTACTGCGTTGTGATGATGGAATTAAATGTTGAAGCACACTGTTGGACACAGGACTGCAGGGGTAAACGGCTTGTGGTCCGAACCAGTGTTTACCATGTTAACCATGTCATAGCAATCCATCCAATAGTTGTTGAGATATTAAAGTGTCGGACCAATTGACTGACATCAATTGTCATTCAATCGTCATTTACAGAGCCATGTTGGCATCATTGCAGTAATGTTGTGATTTTGTTTTTTATTTGCATTCAAAGTGATACTGGTTACATCAGTTCCTGCACTTCTATCAGCATTTAAAAAAACATATTTGCCTACTTGCTTTTGTAAGTGTATATTCAGTAATGGCACATTTAAAGTCAGATGACATAATCTGTGAAGCTGCACTTTAGCTCAGCTTTTAGCTTGGATTTTGTGCTTGAGCCATAGCTAAAAAAAACTTTGCTTATTTGTCATCATTAACCCACAGTCATACCACCTATGTACTGAATTATTGTAATTGTCTCATCAGTACTCCTATTAACTACTGAATGCTATTTTCTACTCCTGTTTCTTTAGTATCGAACTCTTTTAAGAATCTGTGTAAACCAAAATTGAATCTCATGTAGTCATTGAGGCCGAAAGCTTCGGTGCAGTCAGCAGGTATGTTTGTCACGAGGATGACATGTTGGGATTAAGGATTATCTTTCACTCTACTCATTATGCTGCTTTACCTTTTAGACCTTCAAGACGTCAGCTCTTGACCTTCAGCCCTACGTTTGTGTCACCCATAAGTGGCCATAATTTTATTTTTTGGCACTTTTTTCTTCGGATGAATATTAATTATTATACATTATATTAAATATTTAACCTTAAAACTGATAACTAACTGTGACCGCACTGATCCTAAGCGATTATTTAAATCTCTAAACCAAAATAGGCCTAGAAATCTAATGTACATTGCACTAGCTGTTTCTTCAGATTTGTTTTGGTTTATTTTTTCCTGATACACATAACTATGAAGAGAAACAAGTCAAGAAAGGTTGCTATTAATAATTCTTGTTCCCAACCTCTTAATCTGCAGCACCAGAAGCAGCGGTACCGGAAGCAGCGGCACCAGAAGCAGCAGCACCAGAAGTGGAAGCTCCCACAGCTGAAGCAGAAGCGCCAGAAGCAGCAGCTCCCGCAGCTGAACTCGCCCCAGTGGAGGAGGCAGCACCGGTAATAGAGGTCGTTGCCGAGTCTGCCCCTGCAGAACCAGTAGCGGAGACCGCTGCTGAACCTGTCGCCGAGGCTGTGTCTGAAGAAGCAGCCGCTGTCGCCTCAGAGGTTGTTGCAGCTGAGCCAGCAGTCGCAGCTGAGCCAGCAGTCGCAGAAGAAGCTGCTCCACCTGCAGCGGTTGAGGTGGTTCCAGAAGCTGCTCCAGTCCCTGTGGAAGTCGCTGCCACAGAGGAGACGCCAGCAGAAGAGACACCAGCAGAGGCCCCTGCAGCAGAGAGTGCTGGTACGGCAGCAGTAGCTGAAGTCCCTCCTGAGGCAGAGACTGGCTCTGCAGCCCCTGAGGCTGAGGCAGCCCCTGAGGCTGAGGCTGCCCCTGCTGCAGAGGTGGCTGCATAAAGCTGTGATGCCTCATAGTTTGCCCAGAAAGGAGGGCTGGGAGTTAATTGTGCTGTGTCCCACCTCTCTGGGCCTAGGAAAAAAGGACTCATGAACCCCTGTTTTAATAAAGGGAGCGGGGAACAGCATTTAGGTTTCACTTCTGGTTGGTTAATGAATACCAGTTAGGGGTTCATCAGTCCAGTTTTCAGGTGCCTTCCTTTCCTTAGCTCACCTCACCCCAACCTTCAGACCCAAACCAGAACCTTTGGCATTAGGCTGTCTGTTTAGATTCAGTTCAGAAAATTCAGTTTCTTTAGGAATTCTTGTAGCCAGAGCAAATCCAAATTATGGTTTGGCTTCTGTACAGTTAATAGAGGAGTGTGAAACTAGGTGATATAAGGCATGGAGCAGAGTTTAGGACTAATGTTTTCTGTAAAATGTTCTGAAGTGCCCTTATAGCAGGACAGCCCTGCGTTTTCTCCCTTATGTAAAAATATCAGCATGGTGAATGAATACAGCCCATTTGATTGTGGAAGTTGTTCAGTCTTGTCTCTTTCAGTGTCATTGGCACTTGGTCTTCCTCTGCTCAGCAGACGCTTACTTCCAGCTATAGCCATGAATCTTTGCTTATTTTAGGATTATTAGCAAACAGTAGAAAGATGGAACATGAGGTCTGTGTGCTTCATTAAGTTTTAACGAAGCCACGTTTAATAATGTGAAGTATGACCAAAAACCAGTTAGCTCCTCTTTTCCTGGCTGCAGGAGTTTTTGTGATTGTAACATCCTTTTTGCACATCTCCTCTCAGAGCGAGACAAAGTTGAAATTACGCTTCTCTTCTTTCTTCTTTTCTACTCGTAACAACCATTTTTTTTTTCTTGCACATTCAAATAGTTTTATTTCCATTATTACAACCTCTCTTACTTACTTACATCTGCCTGCGCCCACTCCAGCCATGTACAAGACTTTATTTTGTAGTGTTAAACTCACTTCTGCTCTGTCTTTACACTTTAAATGTGACAATTCATTCACCTCTGTCTCTGAGCAAGTTGTCATTCTGATTAATACAGTTAAGTGTTCAAAGAATAAAACCTCACTGGATCGATTATAAAGATGACGTTTCTGCTTTTTTTTTTTTTTTTTTTTTTAAGTACTGTAGGATTGAAACTTGATTTTTTTCCAGTGTTTGGATTTATCAAATTCTGCAGGTTATAGAATAACTGTTTCAGAGTAGGTTGTCTAAACTGTCCGTGCCTAGAGTTTATTCAGCGACTCTTAGCTGCTTGTTGTTTTGAATGTAGAATGTGACAGGCACAGTAAATGTGTTGTAGGTGTAGAAACACCCACTTTCTGTAGAAATTCTCCCTTTCCTGGAGAATCCCTGTGCCACGTTCATGCTCCTGCACCTTCAAGATGAAGATTGAAGCAACCATCTGAAGACTGTTTTTGTTCCCAATACTGCGTTCTTAAAGATATTGCTTGTTTCTCGTAATGATGACCACATTACCACTCTGGCATAGATGTGGTGAGATTTAACTGAAACATAAGCAATCATACAACATAAAAATCTATCCACCTACCCTCTCCTAGGTGTCAGTAAAACACTGATCTGCATAAACCTAGTCATAATGTTGCACACCGGGTAGAAAGAAACTGCAGGCAGCACTCTAAAATGCAAAAATGTATCTAAAATGTGTATTAGCCTTTTAATTGTAACAGGTCCAGTCTGAAGCAGTCTCACAGACTAGTTAAAACTAATCCTAGATTACAATGCTTGTTTTAGGGTGTCCTGGTGGCTCGCCAGAATGGGGTGACTGACAGGCTCATGGGTTGGCTCATTGTTGGTGGCAACCCAGGGATGTTACTGTCTAACACATAAATGCCACGCAACTACATTTTTGGAAAATCTTCTTTCTAAGAATATCCATAGAGGCTGTATCCACGTCTAAACATTACTTAAAGCTTTTGTATTAAATCTTATAGATGTCAAACAATAGACTTTTTTCATAGCAGCCATTCAAACACAAAATACTAAACAGGTGTTACTAATAATACTAATTGAGGTTCTGTTCTGCCAACATGCACTGACTCTGTTTGACCTGAATGGAACAGATCCTTAATCGGTATCATCACCTGTGTTTACCCTACTGTTGCATGTTTTCATGCTGCTGTGAAAAAGGCCTATTCTCTCCTACAGAGTGTTAAGAGGGCTCACCACATACTCTACTATACCCTACCCACAGTAGGAAGTTTTTCAAGAGCCATGTTTCACACCGTTTTCTAAAAGTTACACCAGCAGAAGGAGCATGAACTGGGGCAAGTTGTCTCCTGTACCGTATTTCCTGAAGCTGAGCTGACTGTAGACCTTTCCGTGATAGACACCCGCTCAAGGTAAGTTCAGTTTATATAAAACCACACAGCAAACCACTATATACCAGAATAAATCTTCTATAAATCTAATACATTTCTGAAGAGCTGCACATGCCTCGTATTTAAAGGTAAATTAGAAAATAGTTAACATGTAATCCAGGTTTTATGTGAGGGAATTCACCAGTACTGTAACAGTTTTATTTTCATCATTGGCCAACTTGTCAATTATTTGTTTTGAGCAATTAATTGTGCAGTGCATGAAATGTCAAAAATCACAAGTTTTCAACGGTGTGAAGTGTTCAAAGGTCAAATTGTCCAAAACCCAAAGATTCAACTTGATTTAAAACACAGAAAATCAGCAAATCCTCACATCTTAAAAGTTGGATGGAACAAGAAAATATATGGTATTTTTGTTTGACTAACTAACTTAAACTAATTAGTCTTTCAAAGAATCAGTCGACTGAATTTGTTGTAGAACTCCCATGCACAGTTATGGTTGTTGCACATGGAGCTCCTTTATACTACTGCAGCAATGTGTGAACTTATATCTGTAATATATTTAAAATTTCTCTCAGCCACTACTTCCTGTCCTCCTTCTGTCCTCTAGAATCTATGCCAGACCTGCTCACAGCTGTGAAGATTTTGACCGGCTCCACAGTTGAGATTGCAGCAGCCTCTGTTGGTGAGACGAGTCTGGTGGAAGCTGTCCGGAAAATAGAGGAAGATGGAAAAGGTTTGGACTCCACACTGGAGGAGCCAGAAGTCCTGGAAGCAACCACAGAGGTGGTGGCTAAAGAAGTGACTGAAGAGCCGACTGTTGTAGTGAACGAGGAGGAGCTGAATTCTGCAGAGGTTGATGCAGAAGATGCAGGAGCTCCACCTGCTGAAGAGGAGACATCTGCTCCTGTAGCAGCAACAGTGGAGGAAGGGGAGGAGGAGGAGGAGGCAGCACTTCCTGAGGAACCTACGACTTCAGCTCCGACAGTGGAGGAGGTGGGTGAGGTTGAGGCTGAAGATCAGACTGGAGCTGCCCCAGAGGAGGCCACCACCACTGCTGAAGCAACGGCTCCTGCTGAGACATCAGTGGAGGAGACAGCTGCCGAAGCTCCGGCAGAGGAGACGGTAGAAGCTGTGGAAACAGACGGGGAAGCTGCAGCAGTTGTGGACACGATTCAGCTGGCAGCGGCCTCCTCTGGGTCAGACCTGGAGGTCCTTTCAGCTTCTGAAGCAGAGTCTACAACAGAGGCTCCAGTACATGAGGCCAAGCATTGCCACTCCTGCCACTCTGCGCCATCAGCAGAGGAGGTGGCGCCACCTGTTGCCGAGGGAGCTGAGGATATAACACATGAAGCCAAGGAAGCAGTGTCATTGATGGAAGGACAAAGTAAGAATAGACAGTGTGAAGTTTTTAAACACCCCAAACCTGCTTTAGTATTATCTATAATGCAACATAATAGCTACACTAAATGTAAAGTTAGTAGTATTATAGTATAGGGGAATATACCCATCCCATAGTCTCCAAAGCTGAAATAAGATATAAATATGAGTTAAAAAATACAGAAGACCCTCCTTTGGTCTCCCAAAAGAGGTTTTTCTGCACACCTCATCCTCCCTGGTAATTTTCATACTGTCCCTAAATATTATGTTCATTATCTGCATTCCAAATTTACCTAACCTTGTTTTGAAGATTTAAAGTTTCATCTTGTGTCCACCTGTTAAACAATACTTAAAAGTAAACTGACTGAGGTAAGTAGGGTAGGGTGAAGAACAGTTGTTCTCAGATCTGAAAGACAAAATAGTCTGACATCACAAATAATAGTGTGGGCACAGTGAAACTTTCAGATGCTAGATGGCAGCACAATGAATCGTTGTCACAGCAGACATAGTGACTTGGTAAACACAGGGGCAACTAATAACAATGATTACAGCGTCAGGGTCCTAGTGTTGCGCGTGCTGTGTCACTGACGTGTCTACACTTGACTGGAACTGAGCCATCATTAGTGTTATTAGTTCAACCCGTGCTTGTCCTGCAGTGACAAAGGTCAATGAGACTTTTTAACCTGTTTTTTTTTTTTTTAGCTATGATATTAATGTGATGAAACTGTAACTGAACTAATACCGGACATGGATTATATGCTTCAGTATATCAGCTAAAAAAAACAACAACAACCTATTAATCTTTAATAAACGCTTTAGAGCTGCTAGAGGACCCACTGGCTCCATCTCTCCAGAATCAGCGTGGAGGTGGATAGTTTCCTTTGTTGTCAGCAGACATTTACCTTTAATGATGAGAGCTTCAGCAAAGACCTCAATCTTTATATTAAAGGACCTTTCAAATGGAAAGCTGTCAGCTCCTAAAGACTCTTAATTAGTGGTTTATGAAAGGCAGGTGCACTGAACAGACCACCTCATTAAACCTAATTAGAAACACAAAGACTGAGCTTCCATCATAAAATGTCAAATACATGTTTCGTTACAATTTTCTGTTATCTGGAGAAGAATAGGATATGTAATTACATGTTACAAAAATAAAAGCACCATCAGTACACATGAGTGCATTTTAAAGGGCCTTTCTCAGTGAGGGTTGTTAGTTTTCTAGATTAAAATAAATCAAGTTAATTACCACTGAAAAAACAATATAATCTCCCCTGTTTTTGGCTCTGACCAGATGTATTTCTGCCTATATCCACAGAGCCAAAGATGTCTATCTGGACTGTAAAAAGCTGCTCAGTGATGTAATAGTACAGTTGAGAAGGTAAACAGTTAAAAGCAGCACAGCTAGAAACACAGCTGTCTGTGTAGAACTAGAGATGGTAGAATGGACATCTTTATTCTCCGATAGCCACAGATGCTCAGAATTGATGAGGCCAGTGTGACTTATACACACTATTAGCACACTTTTCTATTTAAATCCTGCCGCCCATGTCCATTCTACTTATTTAAAATCTAGGATCAGTATGTTGCAAAAAAACATAGTCATATTAATGTCATGAATTTCTACGATACAAAACCAGTGTTGTCCTTTTTTTTTGTTGCAGCCACAGAGACTATGGTGGTGGTGACAGCCCAGTCATAACATGAGAAACAGTGTGCCTTCCACAACACTGGCTTATCTGTCAACCCAGCCAGGACGACCCATGAAAACACAAGGACTATCTACAGGTTTAACTAGTGACTGTGTCCTTTTTAAAATGTTATCACAGAGTTTTTAAAATGTTTCTGATCAATCTCTGTTAGCATTTGAGAAATTATTCCCATTATGTCTCTTGTCCTCTAGATGCCACTGTTGCAAAGCTTTTCATGACCAGTTCAATTGAAGTTTCTGTAAAGGTGTTGTAGTAAGCACTGGAAGTGGTTTGTTGTTACTGTAATGTTGCTTTTCATAGATATTGCCTACTTAGCCTACAAACTGTACCGAGAATTGTAAGTGGGGTGCACCTATGTTATCCCACGTCATTTCCCACTCAACACTCAATCAACAATTATAACAGCATGAAGACATACATTTTTTTGTCACTTTTGCCATAGTACGAATGCAGATGCAAGACAAGTTTAATTTATTGTTTGCTGATTTGAGAGGGAGGCATTCCTAGAAGAAAACATTACAACAATACCAGTGAAAGATATTGCACCAATGCTGATATTTCCACTGATATCACTAGTATATCCATATTTTGGTGCATATTTATTTTCTATTTTTTAGTGCTGATTGTTGTTGTGTATGATTATATTCAACAGTAACATGCCTCCACTTCTCTAAAAGTTGTAGATGGCTGCTTTGTTTTAACATATTTATAGATTTACTGCATAAATGATCATATATTAACTATATATTATATTAATATATTTAAATAGTTAATATACCGGTTTTATGTAGTTCATTTCGATGTCTGTGTTATCATGATAATGTGCTCACATAGACACTTTAAATAAAGTGATATACAAACAATTTCACTTAACTTAAATATTCTTGTGTTAACCAGTGTTATTAATTCACTGTCCTGTAGTGGATGTCAGTGCACTGACCACTTGAGGGAGACAGATGACTGTTATTTAATCATTTGTCTAAGTTTATAGATTTTTTGGAGCTTTTTTAGAATAACTTGTGACCATCATGACATCATCTTTGTTTCCATCAGGCAAAGAGAAGCAAGAAAATGAATTCCTTAAAAACAACAACACATTATTTATCCTCTGTTTACAGCGGGTGGGTCAGGAAATGTTTTTTAATTGAAACAAATAAAAACTCTCGCTAATAAAGCAGTGAAATGGATGCTCTGGTGAGCTCGGATTGTTTATTGTACGGCCTGACGTCACGAGTGTAATTTGCCTGAACAAGCGGAGAGTTACTGACAGCACACTGTCTCCTCCTTTCTCCTCCTTTCTCCTCCCGCGGCTCTGTCCATTCACTGTCCCACATGAAACGCCAAAGGGCACCAAGCTCTTTGCACTCTTCTGTCCGGAGACCATGAACACAAACCACTAACGTTGACGTTGGGTTAGCCAGCCGTAAGCAGCGGGACTCCTCCGCCAACAACAGCAGCGGGACCAGAGCCGTCCGGAGGGGAGGTTACTGTATGTCTCTCTCTCTCTTTCACACTCACACACACAGAGACACACACACACACACACACACACACACACACACACACACACACACACACACACACACAGACACACACACACACACACACACACACACAGCCAACTCTCAATAGCCAGCCAGCTAACGTCAAGTTTCTGCCCGTTAACTAAGTTTGTCTCCAGCAGGAAGAATCTCCCGGTAAGTGCGCTGAGCTGACGTTAGCCAGCGTTAGCCAGCGTTAGCCAGCATTAGCCAGCATTAGCCACATGGTTTGTTGTGTTTGTTTTTCTGTCAGCGTGTTTGTGCCACAGTGCTAGCTAACTCAGCTAGCTAACGTTAGCTAAGTTTCAAGAACACTTAACGTTACGGTTCTTGAAATGCGTTTTATGGCACTGTATTTTATTACCAGCGCGGCATACTGATTCAAAATAACTATATGTAAATGATGCAAGAGCTGGCTAATAATTCATTGATAAGGTTAGCTGCTGCACAGAAGAGCAAAGGTATCATTGCAACAGTGAATGACTCACTGCATGCCTGACATAATTTGACATTTGTAAGCATTGCAAACAGCCAACTGTGTGATGTAGGCGGGGGTTAGTGATCCTAATGAACTAAGACACTGGAGCTAACCTCAATGCTTTGTATGTCACATTTATTACCACAAACACACAAGACTTGTGTCCACACACTGCCACTGTGATGGCTTTGTAGGAGAGCAAGTGTCTGTTATTGTACCCCTGCAGTATGAGGTAGCATCAGGTGGTGATGAGCAGGCCTGCTGTCAACATGGTAAGACTTTATTGGCAGCTTATTACATTGTGGCATTGCTTGTTGAAAAGAAATAATAGATAATAATGGATCTACTTCCCTTGCTGATCTTATGACATATAATTATATGATTTAATTTATTTCGAAAATGTAATTTGGAATATTTCTTTTCCTGTTAACTATAATTATTTAGTACACAACATGTCAAAAATTGCTTTTGTGGTCCACTGAAAGGAAGACATTATATATAGATGGTCAGTGATAAAACCTTATATGTTGTACATTTTTCCATTTATGATGCTTTTGGGGCATTTTAACAAATATGTGACTCAAATTATTAATCAGTTCTTAAAATGTTGTTAATTACTGTTCTGCCAATCAGCAAAGCATATAATTAAGTAATTGTTTAAAAGGCTAAAGAAAACTTCCAAACTGTGTTTTTGGTGGATTAGAAACCACAAAATAATAGTTTCCCCCTACAACTTCTTCAACACTGCCCTTTTCTTCCTCTGTACCTATCTTTTAAGACACTGTAAACAAGCCTGATCTGATTTCATAGTGTAGCACAGCACAGTATTCTGTTTTAGGTCACTGGTCTGCGGGTATGCTTTAGTGGCTGCTGGTATTTAAAGTTTTGTTTGTGTGGTGTAGTAGTGTTGTTTAATTTTCAGAGGCCAGAAGTCTGGGCCGGCTGTCTCCAGTGAGCTGTACTGAAGTTCCTGTGCTTTGTGCTGGTAAATGATTGACCCAGCCTGCTTTTTGCTCTGCCCGTATATCCTGCAGCCTAAGCTAACAGTTGAACTCCTGTCTGAAGGTTTCCACTGGGCAGCCACAGTCGTACCTGAACGTTCAGTAATGGGGCTAAATCATGAGAAGCCTGTCGAGGAAACTCCAGATACAGACTAATTTATAACTCATTATGGTAATTTTCATGCTTCATGTCTTTATTTGGACACCCAGGGCTGACTCTCAGCTGATTCCATTGGAATATGGTTTAAAATCAAATACGACCAGCTCTGTAATACTAAGATCGTTTAAGCTTATAACTTTCACAAATGGTAATCGCACAACACATGTTAGGAGTTTTGAATGACATAGGCACTTAATATAAGAAGTAGCAGACCAAAATAAACTACAACAGTTGGTTCCATTATGCCAAATATACCACCATATCACCACTACTGAGGTTTCATGTTACATTCATGTCATGTGGGAATAACAAAGCAACTTGCTTGTAATATCACCAGGCAACGATTCATCTTTTCCAACTACTTAATTAGAGTTTCATTAGTTGTCAATTCATTGATTTATTATTCTTTTGATGAATCGACTAGAATCAGTCTGATGCTGATTGCAGTTTCCACAGTCTACAGTGATGTTTTTAAATTGTTTGTCTGACCAACTCTCCAAAACCCAAAATATATTTAATGTGCTGTAACATCAAACACAAATAGAAAAATCCTCACGTAAATGAGGAATCCAATATCAAATTGGTTAATTCACTAAATATAATAGAAAAGGCCCTTTTTGCCAAACTTTCAAATTTTTTGTTTCAACTATAGTCACATAGCTATAGTTGAAATGACTCTTCCACGGCTATAGATGTGATCTAGCACAATTAATACTGTTGTATTATATTATTTCATTTAATTCTGTTTCAGATTGACATATGTTTTTTACTTATGTTTTACCACACACAAAAAAGCTTGATAATGATCGTTTCCCCCACCCCTCTGTAATGTGTCAGTGTTGAGATATTAGGCAAGACTGTCATTTGCATTTTAGAACAAACTGTGAAGGTTTGAGGCTTATTTGGACACCAGATACTAATAAACCTGTATTGTAAATTGAGCAAAGGGAATGTATGACCCAAAAATGCTAACTGACACAGGGGCTATTTTTCTAGTCATTGAATGACAAAGGTTTAGATGTGACACTACAACACTGCAGAGAATTTATAACCCAACTTTATTACTACGTCATTGTAGCAACTGAGTTATAGTGGAACTAGTGGGTGTGTGTGTGTGTGGGTTGGGTGTGGATGTCAAGTAAATCCTGAGTTTATACTTGACATGTATGTGGACGTTGGGTCGTCAGTGTGTGTGTGTGTGTGTGTGTGTGTGTGTGTGTGTGTGTGTGTGTGTGTGTGTGTGTGTGTGTGTGAGTGTGAGTATGGTAGAGGGCAGGGCACAAGGCAGGGCGTTGTATCTTTACCAACAGCCCCAGTTACTTGGAACAAAAGCTCTGTTGTTGAAAGATCATGTGACTGTGTGTGTGTGTGTGTGTGTGTGTGTGTGTGTGTGTGTGTGTTCCACCCTTGTCATGTGATCTGAGCTCAGGGCAGGGTCTAAGAAGTGCTGAGTAGCTCTGAGAGGTTCCTTCCATCCAGGGAACAGGCAGACAGAGACAGCGAGCATGCAGGCGGAGAGAGGAGGTGAACTGCCAGGCAGATGGATGGACGGATGGATGTCAGACAGAGAAGAGGTGTGGGGGAGAGACAGAGAAAGATACAGAGAACGTCCTGTTGCTCTTGCTTACCAAGGCAAGACAACACCAGCCTTATTCTTTCATCCTCCTTCTCGTCTCTCCGTGGATTTTGAAGCAGCAGCCAAGTAAAGATGCAAGCCTGCATTTTGAATTGCATCAACTTTTCTGTGGCAAGGCAAGTTCAGACTTCTTTCCTTTTAGTTTGGACGTGTGTGGCGGGATCACATGGTGGGAAAGTTGGCCTGTCAGGATGACTCCGCTGTATCTTGTGAAGTCTCCAGACTAGCACTGACTCACCATGAACTAGAAAAATATTGGCAAAAGAAACAAGCAACTCGTCTCCCCTCACCCCTGAATTTGAGGCATTCACATTAAGACATGTAGCTCTAGCTCTTATACAAAATGGCTCTCATTTCAGACATATTTTCAATTCCTAGAATACCAGCATGACTAGTAAAGAGTGAAAAGATCAAGCTGGCTGCTTTTAACCTTTAAAATTATTAATTTTGTTGCTTGTAATGTGACAGGTATCTGCTGGTAGTTTCTGAATGAAGTGGTTTGCTGAAATGGTAATAATGCAGGCTCTTTTACTCCTTTACTCCTTTCTACCTCCGTTTGAGCTGACTAGCGATAAGGCAGCCACGTGTTCGCAGGCGTCCAGCAGGTCCTGTAATTCTTGTTTGAGTCAATGAAACTCTTAACAGATCAGTGTATTTGCTTTTGTGTGTGTGATTGAATGTGTGTGCATGGGATTAACCCACTCTGGGCCTGCAGCATGCATGTTTCATGGTCCATGTCTGTATTTCTCTGCCTATATGGATGTTTTCAGTGTCTTAGTTGGGTGAAAATAAAGACTGGATAGAGAGGAAACAACAATAGAACAAATCTCATCTAAAATCAAGGCATTCAAGAGAGGATTGCAATGAGAGGTTATTGCCCAGGCTGGTCCATACTGACATATGCTGTCATTTTAGTGCCAGATCATTCTGTTGACCGAGTGAAAACATACATGCACCACATACAGGACTCTGCACTTTGAGCCTCCCTTCCACTCAATGTCTTTCTAAATGACTTTCTAACCAAATGAGTTAGATGGGCTCAATAGATTACCAAAACCCAGTGTCACAATCCCCAACTCTTCCGTGAACTTGCAGAATGACCTCTGTCAGTTTAACAGCAAAATAACGGCACATGGTGCAACACATGTACACACCTTTCTTTGGTTATCCTGTTTCTGTGCCAGAGAGCAGCAGGTCAAGTATGAAGTATTACAACATGTCTGCACGTTCTTAAAAAGTCTAAAATCCAATAAGCTGAATTTTAGGCCTTAAAATGTCTTTAAAATCATCAATTAAGTTAATGTTACTTGTATAAAGTTGCATTTTTTCAGTCTGTCTGGGAAACATCTGTATTACTCATGCTGTAACAACTACAAAACAAAACTGACATGGAACCAATAAAGATTTCCCTTAATATCCTTTGTACTTTTTTTTTTGCCAGTGTGGACGTAAAATAGGTGTTAAATTGCATTCATAATGGTCTTAAAAAGCCTTACATCAAACCTGAGGAAACCTGGAGAAATCCTGTATGAACTGAGAATTAAAATGGACCACCGCACACTGAAATTAGTTCATTGTGACTTTATTAGGAACGAACAAAGTGTTTCGCCTCTAGCTCAGCCTTGATGATGTTCCTACAACCTCCCAGCACCAGGTTGCTGATGACTGTGCACCGGGAGTTCCTGCTTTAATATCAGAAAATGAAACTGGTAGCATAAAGGGGCTCCTGATTTCCTGATTTCCTGGGACTCAGGAGCCAGACACACCAGTTAGATGCTTTTGTGAGACCTGTGGATGTGTCTCATGGGTGTTGAACCCCTGCAAGCGTACTGCAAATCTGAACTAAACTAGCCCCTCTGAGACAGAACACACAGCGCTGTAGATGTGTGTCTGCTGTATGCTGTTGAATAATTGAACAGAGGATTTCCATCTGAGCTGATATCATGTTGGTCTCAGTAGCGGAGGAAACACCAGCACTGCATCGCTCATTCATTATACAGCAGTTAGAGCAACTGAGCATATCCTCACCATGTTAGAGGATGTATGGTTTGTCATGCATGAATTAACATTATGTTAACATTTTGCACTGGAAAATCCAAAAATATTGAAGTGTCGTTGAGTTATTTTTTAGCTAATCCCTTTCTTTGTGTGTACAGAAGAATTTGAAGAATTTTGCCCAGGATTATCTTTAAACAGAGGGTGGGCTCCCTTGGCCCTATAAGAGGGTAGATGTGCTGTTGTCAGTTAGGAGAATAGAGTTTGTTCTGTTTTTGACCTTGTTTATGTTGAAAATAAAGTGTCAAAGTATCATCCAAACACATCTGTTGACGTGCATGTAGCTGTTTTGAATGGTGACACGTGAATGATGCACACTTTCAGCTCTCAGTTTCATTTGGCTGACTTTTTAATCAGGCAATTGAAAGCTACACAAGCAAAAGTCAGCATCCTCACCAATTGATGATTCATGTATAAGATATGGAAATAAAGACGGGGTAGAGGTAGTATTGTACGTATTGTAAGGAAAAATGTAAGACCTTATATTATTTTATTCAAATATAACACTGTTGAGTTACTCACTTTACATACTTGAAGTGATGATGTGAGACAGGTTAGATTTTACGCTTTATAGTTTGTATTTTCTGTTGCCAGGTTTGGATGCGGTGGCTGCAGTGTAAGTCCAGAAAAGAGAAAGACAGATCTGTTAATGCTACCTTAAACTCTGATCTAGTAGCATCAAGGACCGGCTCCCACAGCGAGGATGTTCTATTCTGGTCTGAACGGGGCTTTTTTTTTTTTTTTGACATAATGTAACCCCACTAAACAATGTAGCATGAAATGCTCCTTGGGCTTGGAACAGGGGTGAGCATGTTGTTAAGTTGCATGTTACTCTTACTTTTTTGTTCCCTTTGGAAGCTACACAACTGACCAGTGTAAGTAAGAATACCACAAATCCCAAGTCAGCCCTTTAAAATCTGTGTAAGGAGTAGGTGGAGCATCAGCTTAAACCAAATCATGCAGTTTGTGTGTATCTGTCTGCCTCTCCATGCTCCTGCCTTCCCTTTGTCTTATATCCTATTGTTGCCCCGCAGAGCAGCACAGAACAGGAACCGAGGGCCCTGAGGTTCTTAGCAACTGTTACCATGGTTCCAGTCTGCCCTGCCTAGATCTTCCAGTGGACACTGTGTGCGTGTTTGAAGGGCTGACTTGGCTTCCTGTCAGTGCATCTCTTCCTGTAATAGCAGACAGGCACTTCCTGTAAGCCACAGCCAGAAGCAAAGAGATGAAAAAGATACAGAGATCTCGGCCTTTAATGAGGTCTTGGTCTACAGTTGGAGGAAGGTGTAGTTGCATTTCAGCCAGGTGATTTTTATTTTGGAAAGAATTGTTCAGGTCATTGAGTGTGAGCAGTCAGGATATGGCAGTGCTCCAGCAAACTTTCATTTATTTATTTTTTTAGTGAAGCAACTCAAGGGTTTTGGGAAATACCGAAAGTTAGATGAAGAGATTGATTTTGTTCTCATGTCTGCACAGTTAATATAAAGCAACAGCCGGTTAGCTTGGCCTAACATAAAGACTGACAACAGGGAAACAGCTTGTATGGCTCTGACTAAAGATCACAAAATCCACCTACCAGCAACTCTGAAGCTCACTAAACATTGGCAAGAAAGCATATTTTTCAAAAAAAGGGATATTTTCAAAGCAGTAAACAAGGAAACAGCACAGGCTGGCACTGGGGAAAAGGCAGACTTCTGTCATCATCAAACTTACTTATGACACAATATGGTCTTTATTGTGTTGAACAAAGTTTTGTTTACCAAGGCTTCTCTCTCTTCTCTCTCCAGGGTCCTTTGTTCAGCAAACTGGTGGGGGCCACCAGACGGAGGTGCTGAGGGGAACCACTGGCTGTGACTGCTGATCGCAGAGGAGCATGAGTCATGACCTCAGTGGTACTGGTCGACACTGGTGGGACGGTGGTGGAGTATGTCACAGCCGAAGAGGACCCCCAGCAGGTGGAGTGGAGACAGACACAATCTTTTCTACTTTCTGTTTTATTCTATCATGGAAAACCTGTTTTTACTGTCTCGCTTTCTTCCGTCTCTCAATCCCTTTGCCCTGGAGGAGGGAGAGTGCGAGGTGGACGAGGAGCTTGAAGGAGAGGTAGAAGGTGAGTGTGAAGCTGAGGAGGCCTATGAAGAAGTACAGGACAGGGAGGAGGCTCAGGACTACCCGGCAGTCATAGTAGAGGAAGTACCCGGCGCCAGCCTGGCCGAGGAGCAAGGTTACTCAGCCCAGGTGTTGGTGTACGAGGACGAGGCCTACCTGATGCAGGAAGTGGGAGATGAACAAGAAGTGGAGACAGAAGGGGAGGCAGGTGAGACATACCCATATTTATCAGATATTGGCTCATAATCCTCCTATTGGTGCTCTAGGTTAGTGCAACAGATGACTCACATAAAACACATACAAAGCTTGGTCCTTAAGAAACCTGTTTGACCCGAGGAGCTGGGAAATCTGACTCGTGTTTCTTTTCTGTATCTTGTTACCACTGCTGATACACAGTTCCCATTTCCTCTGGGTCACTAAGGTTTTATATTATTGGAAAAAGAGAGGAATTTTCCCTGCTGTCACCTGCTGCTGAACTGTTCACATTTTGGGTACGGGCTGCATGTTTCAGAAACAAGACATTGGTTCTGGACATTTATGACTCAAATTTTTCTTTTGCTACAATTGTAAAGATTTACATAGTTTCAACTGTAGCCAGAGCTGTTGACTACTTGTGTCCTAGTGCTGAATCCATCAAATCAAAATGCTTTCATTCATATTGTACCTTAAAATGTCTGCTATGTTCCTCTCTTCACCCCTGACTTTAAAACTTCTCAGGCTTCTGGTGTAGTACAGAGGTTAGAGTGTGTATTTAGTGTTTTATAGAAAATGTTGCTTTTGTTTGTTGTGGTCGTGCTAAAATGGGACATATTTGTCATATGATTCTGCTGTCAGTGACACAGTCTGGTTAAGTAGGATGTGAGGGTTACAGGCCTCTGTGTTCACACACTGCCACCTTGTGGATATTTTTTGGACAGTAACTATTTCATGAAGAGCTCAGGTATCCAGTATTATCTCTGATAAACCATTAATTCCTTATCAATGGTGACTAGAGTCCAATCCAGTGCAGTGTTCATAAGTATGAAACTAAAAGACTGAGTGTGTTAATATTATTTTGAACTTATAAAAGCTTCATTCATTTGTAATGTCCGAGGTTACATCTCTAAACTCCATTTTCACATAGCAGGATCAAATATATGTTAGAATTAACAGAAAATGTTTTGCATCACTGAATATTTTTGCCAATTTTACACATTCAGTCAGCTTGGAGGTCATAATTTTAAAAAATACATATATTGTACAGTTTACTGTATTTTTTTTGGGGGGGGGCTTTTATTGCCTTTAATTGATAGTGACAGCTGAAGAGTGAAAGGAAAGGGGGAGAGAGAGGGCTGATGACACGCAGCAAAGGGCCACAGGTCGGATTCGAACCCTGTTAGAGTTGCATTTGTTGGAGTAAAACTAAAAAATGTAATGGCACTGAGTGCCTACCACCATGGGTGACCCTCAGCTGAAGAAACTAGTGTTCAGAATAGCCTTTAACTTTAAATACATAATTGTTGTCTCTTTGTGTAATTCATTAGTTTGTGTCTGTTTAATCTCTAAGACAAACAACAACATAAGAAAAAGTGCATCAATTGAAAAAAGTTTGAAAATGCTGTAGAAACAGATACTTATTGTTCAACAAAACCTTTGCAAGCTGCGAAATCTGCAAGCTGTAAGTGTAGTAGAAAACTATAATTTATTATTATTTATTTAAGAGTTCAAGGGTCATGTCTTGACTCATGATGTTGCCTCAATCCTTAAATTATTTTTGACACAAAGTTTGAGCAAAACTAAAGAATATTTTGTACATGTAATTTTTTAATGGTTATTTGCACTTTATTAGTTATTTTGTTTGAGTTAATGATAATATTTGAATTTACATAATGTACATGTTATCTTGCACAATGTACAGTATATTCCTCACATGCAATTAACTATTGCAAAAGTATCTATTTCAATTATGGAATTGATAATGGCCTCCTAATAGATTGATCAATGTGTTGGAGTGCATTTGTCTTGTACAAACAATCCTCGTTAAAACAACAAAATACATGTTGTGAAGGTATTCTAATCCATTGTATAAACACAGCAACAAACTATGCAATCATTACAAAACGCTCATTGTTTTGAACTGAAGTAGGTTAGATAGTCCTGTCTTAGTGTACAATTCTTAGCTGTCAATTCACCGTTCAGAGTGCACATTTGTTCTGAAATAGTTTGTTTGTTTGTGCAGTGAGTTTATTTAAAAACGGTTATCACAGTACAGCTTTATTTGACGTAGTCACTACGCAAGTGAGGGAGGGCGATGGAAGGATTTCCTGTGTCGCCGGCGGAGGGATACACTCCTGGCCCTGTAATGCGTCTCGTTGAATTCGAGGAGATTTCCCATTAGCGGCGGAGTGATATGAGCTAGTAGCTTCCTATACAATTCAGTGAGAAGTCAATGTGAATCTGCAGCAAGGGGAAACATGGCGACTTCACAGCATGAGGGGCACGCAAACCAGCTCGATCTACTCATCAGAGCTGGTAACGTATCTTTACGTACCTACAGCTTCGACCCGGGAGCTCACGCTAACGCACGGGTTGTGTTTTTAACCTCGACCGCTGCGCCTCGGCGCGCTGAGCAGTGTGCTGAAGTAATGGAGGGCAATCAGGAAGTGATCACCTTGGTAGCAACCTGCATGGCGTTGCTACACGGTTTATCAAAGCCGGTTTAAGAGGTGAAAAACTTCCGCAGGGCTCGCCAGTGTGCACAGATGGATAGTTATCTGCACAAGGTGTGTTTTGCATGTGGGAGCAGGCTCTTGTCGCCGCGGTGGGATGTAGAATAACGGTCCGCAGATCGGCTCTGCACAACCAGGAAGTGTAAAGATGTTGTCTTTCCTACGTCTTTGCCACGCTGTCTGAGTCGGAAGGACATGTGGGTTTATTTTTACTGGCAGAAATCTGGTGCACAGTGTTAGATCTCACCGCTTTATTATTATAATTTGGTAGTATTTAACCGCGATTGGCTTTGGTTTGTTCCGTTAGTGGGATTTATGTACAGTAACAGTCTGCACACATTGTCCCCGAATAACAGTATAATGGACATTAAAAAGTGATGAGCATTGTCTCATATTATTGGGAGTTGTACGTGTGGTGAGCACATTTCCCACAGTGGCAGTGGCCGCTGTTGGGATATGTAGTTTGATGTCTCCGTTATGGAGCAGTGCAGCCGCTGACTGAAGCGTGGGACGGCCTGGCTCACTCGCTTTCTTCCCTGTGGTTGTTTTCAGGTGCGGCTCCAGCCTTCGACCTCGCAGAGCTCGACACACACATTATGTGTGTGTTCAGTCGCTTGGTAACCGAGTCTGGTAATTAACGATACGTTTTCAAAGCACCGGGTCGTTTTCACTCATGTTTAATCGCAAATTTCAAAGTATTTTTGTCCGGTATCGATGGCGGAAGCATTGTGTGTGTGAGGGGGCGGGGCGTGTCTTTGATCGACTTGTCCGGTAGTCCAATAGCGTGCACGCAGCTTTAGAACGTCAGCAGGAGGCCAATCAGATTTAACGGGGGGCGGGCTATTCAGACAAGAAGGAGCCAATAGGAGGTGAGGCGGGTGTTGAGTGACAAGAGGATTTGTGAGCTTCTTCGAAGAGAACTGGAGGGAAAGGATGAGGACTGTAAACACGGAAGTTATCGGACGCAGCACTACTTTTTGTCGGACTTGCTGCTTTTCTTGGCGCCGTTACACTGTATTATAGGTTCATAATAGGGATTTTCCTCACATATACAAATATTATTTTAATACTAATACTTTTATTATATGCCACCCACACATAATGCACACTTGTTACAAAATTGTCAGTGTTTTGTAATTTTCTCTTTCTCAATAATTAAGCATACATTAAAATCCTAACAGTCTAGACAGACTAGAAATGGCCAAAGTATCTTCATGTGGTTATGTTAGTGGAGCCAAGCCGTGGCTCTTTGACCTCACTCTTTTTGGTGGTCTCTGCTGTGATATCTACCAGCATGTCCTGTTTGTTTATAAGAGTGAGTGAACAGTGGACAATCTAAAGATAGCCCATTTCTCTCCTGTGCCTGTTGCCTCAGTGAGATAGCCAAACATGGACAGGGTGTAACGCCATCTCGTGTTTCCCACCACTGATTGACACCAACAGCAGGTGCCCTGGGTTCCTTGTCGGGGTCCAAAATGGGGCCATGTACCACTTCTTTTACAACAGACTGAATCCCATTTTTGTTTTAAACGGCACTGTGTCTTTTTGTGCCATGTCTTGCCATAGTTGAGATAGTAAATCAAGACTGCGTTTAGTGTTATTCTAGCTGCCTGTCAGTGCCATGTCTGCATGCTGGTTTTGGAAGGTGGCTTTATGTGTAGTTGAAGCATTTCACTTGACCTCCCTGAACCTTTCCTCCTGTCACTCTTCTGCATGCTCAAACAGTCCTGGTATCTGGTATGCAACTTCACATAAAAGGCAAAAGTGCGGTTGGTGTGAAAACACTGTCATGATAACTAGTTGCACAAATGCAAAGAGGCACATAATGAAGACATTTCCTGCTGTCAAGGTTGCACTTTACATTAAGTCATACTGTGTCTGGATCAGAGTGATTCTGTTGTCCACTGAAATTGTCATATCAGTGTCCTAAAAAGCTTTTCACTAGGGGGCGCCATATAGTTGCATTTTATGTGCAGCACTGTCTTAATAGTGTGATAGATGTGACAGTTAGCAGTACTGCTATGGGAAAGCAAGGTGTTGATCCTCTGTGGGGATTTATTCAGTGTAAAACAGGCTCCCCTGGGCTCAACCAGTAACTTTATTTTTGCTAAACTATTTTCTTATTGTCTGTGTGTTTTCAGTGGAGGCCTCTGTCCATGGCACCAGTATCCACTGCTCTGACAAGACCTTTGAGGCTGCTGAGGCTCTGCTACGCATGGATTCACCTTCCAGCCTCAGAGAAGACCGTAGCCCAGGTAACACACACACACACACAAAACATGGTTATTTACACAATTTAGAAAAGGTTACACTTGAAACTGATAATTTCATCATATAATTATATTCATCTTTATGTGGTTTGTCAAAGACATTTCTCTGCTGTTATCTTTGCTGTAGTTTGAACAAAGTAATGCATTCAAGGTTAAATAGTTCCTAAAGCTCCAAAATATAGTTTTAGGGAGGTTTCACAGCCCCTACAATTTTCCTAACCTTTAGAACAAACCAAACACTGTAAGCATTTGTTAAACAGGTAGATTGTTGGTACTGTAAACTTGGTGTAAAGAACCAAGATTATGAAATAAACATTTTTAAACGTTTCCTTTCCCACAAGGAGCTTTAACCTTTTTAGCAATAAGAAAGTGCGATTGTGAATTTCTCATCAACCAAATGGTTAGTTAAACTTCATAACGCAGCTTGAAGTCTCACTCTTCCCTCTGTAATTTCCTCCATCCAGAAGCCTTTATTCCACCTTACGTAGCGACACCGAACTTCCTTCACGCTGCCATGCGTCCAGAGATGATTGCAGAGACAGAGGTGGAGATATCGACAGAGGAGTGCTGCGATGACGAAGATGAGGAGATGGTCACCCTACTGGAGGAACCAGAACCAGAGCACGGCCACGAGCCTGTCAGGAAGAGGAGAGGTAGACAAAAAGAGCTTGGTTGTGTTTCGTGTTAACACAGAATTCACTGAAGTGAGAGAACCCCCAGTAGTCCAAAACTGCAGAAAAACTATATTTCCATGCAGTTGTTGACCCACTATCGGCTCTATATGTGGAGTGTGGGGAGTTGAGCTTTGGAAAATGGAGGAATTGTGTTTTGAAAAACCGAGTTTTAAATGGAAAACATCTGGCTGCTCTGTGATTAACCTCACCCCACAAGCCAGGCCGCAAACCTCAAACCTCGAGTTACACTGTTAATTACAGTTATTGAGTTTATCCAAGAGCACCATCTAGTGGTAGGCCTTTACTGTGGATCCAAAGTCCACCTCACAACTCTGTGATTGAAGCAAATGATTAAATCCTATTTTAAATTCTTCCTTTTTATAGCTGGACGGAAGCCAAAAACGCATCAGTCAGCTATTTCCAACGGTTCACCGGACCTCGGCATCAAGAAGAAACCAAGAGAAGGGAAAGGTACCTAATAGTCCAAAAGTTACTGGTTCTGATAAATGTAGATGTATACGTAAACCTGGTTCCATTTGAATGTGTCACGCAAAGATAAAGGTTGGTCATTTGTTTGATTCCCAGCAGGGAGCACCACCTACCTGTGGGAGTTCCTGTTGGACCTCCTCCAGGACAAAAACACTTGTCCCAGGTACATCAAGTGGACCCAGAGGGAGAAGGGCATCTTCAAGCTGGTTGACTCAAAGGCTGTGTCCAAGCTGTGGGGCAAACACAAGAACAAGCCAGACATGAACTATGAGACAATGGGACGGGCACTTCGGTGAGAAGTGTGTGTGTGTGTGTGTGTGTGTGTGTGTGTGTGTGTGTGTGTGTGTGTGTGTGTGTGTGTGTGTGTGTGTGTGTGTGTGTGTGTGTGTGTGGCTTTTTCATATTTGTGATTTTGGGAAGCAGCATCATAACTCCCGGTAATCCCCTTTCCTCAGATATTACTACCAGCGTGGCATCCTCGCCAAGGTAGAAGGCCAGCGGCTGGTTTACCAGTTTAAAGAGATGCCCAAAAACATAGTCATCATCGACGACGACAAGGCAGAAATGCCCGGCCCTGACGACCTGAACGGCTCAGAGGCCGTCGCATCCTACGAGCGCGTGCTGCCCTCGCCAGACATGCTGCTGCAGGCGACCGAGCTGTCGTCCTCCAAGAAGCCCAACATCCTGCGGGGTGGGAACAGGGCCCACATGGTCCAAGCTCCTGTCGCCACAGGCAGCAAGGCACTGGCGGGAGGTGGTGCAACGGTGGCGGCGGGCGTGCCAAGGATAGTGACCGTTTCAACCGCACCAGATGGGAGTCAGCAGTCTCATACGGCCATCTTCTCCAACGCCACTGGGCCCAGGTTAGACTAGGTTTTACATTAAAGGGTGTGTCATTAGCAGGCTAATGCAAATGTTGAACATCTCTCCCCCAACAGTAAGTATTGACTCTCTGTGCTGTCTTATGTCTCGTGTACAGGACGGTGCGGGTCGCTATGCAGGTGCCCGTAGTCATGACAACATCGCTGGGTCAGAAGATCTCCACCGTTGCTGTGCAGCAGCCGGCAGGAACGACGGGGGCAGGCGGCCACACTACCCTCCTCGCCAATACATCTGCTCTAGGGGCCGCTGCTGGTAACACCAACTCGCAGCAGAAGGTGTGTGTACTTGGAAACTCATTCAGTGTGTTTGTGCGTATTATATTAGGGTATCTGCAGCAGCTAGGACGCTTTATCGTCTCATAATGTGAAAAAATCTAAAGGAACATTTGAATTTATCATTTTTAATGAAGCCATCAATCCATTTTCTGCTGCTTATCTGGGTCCAGGTTGCATTGATTTAATCAAGCATGTAATTAAGAATTACTGTTATATATTGCTGGGAAATACTGAAATAATAAAATATTTTGTCATATCATCCTTAATGCTTTTCCATCATGTTTCTGCTGGTATAATCGTAAAACAGGTATTAGATTGTTCTCTATGTGGTATTAAAAATGTCTTAAAATTTGTCTTAATGAAACTTGTTAACGCTGCAGAACCCCTGTACAGGCTTATAGATAATTAATAATACTAATAATAATTAGTGCTGTCAGTTAAACGCGTTATTAACCGCATTAACGCAAACCCATTTTAACAGCGTCAATTTTTTTATCACGAGATTATCGTTTATCTTTGTAGTTTTTTTCACATGCTGTTGCAACAACTAGTAATGTTAGAAAAAAAAAAAAAACACCACACCGGATCTAGCTAGACCGGAACCAAAACAACACACACATGTTTAAGAGTAGTAGATGTTACGTTTTGAGTGGATGGCGAGAACGAGATGCTGAAATGGATGCCAATAATATTCTGAATGGAAAGTTTACTTTTAAAAAGTTGCCAAATGGTTCCATTGACAAGACCAAAGTGATCCGTGTGTTTTGTCATTGTGTGATTAATTGCGAGTTAACTATGACATTAATGGGATTAATTGCGATTAAATATTTTAATTGTTTGACAGCACTAAATAATAATAATAATAATAATAATAATAATAATAATAATAAGGTAATCATATACATGTAACATTCTTGGTTTTCAGGCTTAATTATCTCTATTGACTTAATTTGTGTTTTTTTTTTTTTTTTTTTTTATGGCAGGTTGTGATCCAGACTATTCCCACCATGGTCCCAGCCACAGCAGAGAACGGAGACAAGATCACTGTCCAGCTGGCCAAGATCATCACAATCCCAGCTCACCAGTTAGCTCAGTGTCAGCTCCACACCTCCACAGGCACAAACAAGCCCAGCATCGGGGGCTCCCCAACGGGTATCAGCCTCATTGGGAGCCCCCTAACGGTCCGGGCCCTGGCACCTGTCAACGTCGCCCCGGGAACACAAGTGATGAGACTCACCGTACCGACGCAGACGCAACAACAGACTCTGGTGGTGTCACAGCCGGGTAGCGGGGCGGGGGTTGTAACGGTATCGACAGCCAATCAGACGGTGATGGCACAGCCTCGGATCATAAGCGGCGTCATTAACGGTTCGGAGCTGGTGATAGGAGCACCAGCAAGCGGAGCGGTCGCGGTAGAGAAGCTGAAGGCAGCAGGGGTCCAGGTCCAAGCTGTGCAAGTGCCAGTGACGGTCGCAGTCCAGCAAAACCAGATGAATCCCAAAACATCAGCGGCTGTGGACGCTGTGGACGCCGAGGTGGTTATCAAACTGGAAACACCCGACATGACGATAAAGACGGAAGAGCCCGAGTGTTGAAATGCACAAATCTACCGATGTCCATCTTTTCCTTCTGTCAGAGAGGGATCGTTTGTACATGTCTGACGTCATTTTTTACTCTTGTAATAACCAGCAGCAGTCTGTGAGACTTTAAAGACTCCTGAAGGCCTGTTTTTAGTCCTGAACCTGTCCTCACATCTTCCCCTGTTGCTGCCTAGAACTTTACTGAACTAAGCCGGTCTCCCTCAGAACCACACTGAAACCTCTGAGTGTTGTGTACAGGGTTCAAAAACAGACTTTAAAGGAACTTGTTGGGAAAGGTAAAGGGACCAACCTTGATCACTACAATTCATGCCTTCTAAATGGATCGCTATAACTGACTCAAATTTGGAGGGTAAAAGGAAAGAACCTTGAAAATACAAAAAAAAAAACAACAACAACCATGAAACACTACAAAACGAGGCAAATAATTACAACTAACCAAAATGTGAACTATTGAATAAAAAACAAGTAGACACAGTGGGGCTGAGGGGGTAAATGAAGATTTTGTAGAAACATTTATCATTTTGTCTCTACAGATGCTAAAACCAGCAACTTATAATTTTTTTTAAAAAACTTGTATCACTGTGCAGATCAAATGGGGGTGGTGCTATGCGAGTCCTAAAAGTGTGAGAGGAAGTGGAGTTATAAGAAGCTCTTAACAAGGAACGATATCAGACAGAAAATGGTCATGTATGTACATATATATATATATTATCTACTATACAGTTTACGGAGCTAAAGTTAACGGAACAGCCTTAGATTTTAATTTTGACTTTTTTTTTCATGTATTGTCTGAACAGTAAGCTGAGATTTGTTTTTGTGTTTTGATACCTTGCACCAAGCACAGTATTATTGAAACTAGGGGAACCAATATTTGTATTATTATTAGTTCCTCTGTCTCTGTCAGGCTGGTAAACGCTCATGTAGATTGAATCTTACAGAAGACAAAGCAACATGTTTTAGATCAGTGGCCAGGTTGCTTGCAGTGTGCCCTCCAGCGTCTAGGGAAATATCTAGAATTGAATTTCAGACTTATTTTATAAAAAAAGGATCTTGGCTATCACTCAATTCTTTCACTTTTTGACAGACGTTTGCTCTTGTCACAACCCAACTCAGTCTGGCTGCATGGAAAGCTGATGGATGAGCTCTGAGCTGTGCCATGTCTCGAAAAAAGGAATGTATGTAAACTCAGATCGAGAATAAAACGAAGCAATTGTTTTAATTATTGAAAGAGAGGCATTGAAAATCACAAGTTTATGTAAAATGTCTGCAAGAATTCTCAAACCACTGTGTATCCCAGCTTCACTTTACTTCTGGCTTAAAACAGAGGGTCAATTTGCCAGCATACTTTTTATTTTTTTGCCATTTTGGCCCTGCCCCTATACTTTATTTTATTTTTTTTGTATCTAAAAAGAGGGAAGATGGAGAGAAAGATGTTTGTGTTCAGACTGAACTGTTTGTATATTCAACATTTGAAGTATATTCTATTTTGCTGTACTCTTGTTTCAAAGTGTATTAGATTTTACTGAAATATATAAAAAGACATTTGAAACCTCACAGCTGTCGTTTTCATCGTGGTTTTATGTATTTGATTTACAGTTTCTTAGGTTAACATTGATGTTTGGAGGTTAAACACAGATAACATTTATTTTCTATCGAGTGCAGACTGTTTCTGTGGTTCCTTTGTTCTTCTACCCAGTTGACTTTACAGAACAAAGATAAATCAGGGTGGGATTCACTTGTGCTGCAGCTGAAAAGATGTTCATGAACTCGTGTTGAAAGTCTGAGGTAGCCTTTGACATTCTAGTTTGTGTGACCTTTAAAAACAGTGTTTCAGTTTGACATACTGTAAGGTGAGCACATACAGTGTAATGTGTCAACAGGTGGTAAATGACAGGAACATGAACCTATGTGGTGTTCTGACACTGTACAGGGAGACTTTATTTCCTATCCTAATGGCAAACGTTCTGCCAGTCTCTGGGCTGTCTCTTAGGCATTTTGAGGATTATCCAGAATGAGTGGCATTAAAGTGACCTTTTAAAAGGGTCAATTCAGCCAAATTACAGAATACACTTCCTGGTATCTAGCTATGCAGATAGCTTTGATTATATTTACACCGGTCCCGATAAAATGGAGGTGAATGGAATTTAGTTTGTGTTGCTCAAAGCGTTAAACAAATACGTTGCAACAGCAGTACCTTTTCAGAAACAATGACTCAGTTAATCTGGTTAACCCAAGAGTACGCTGTCAGCAGTTTTTATAGGGACTATTTCTTCCAGTAACCAGGACATTGTTTCTTCGTGGATGCACTGCAGTAAAATCTTTAGACTTAGTTCTTCAATGCTCTGAGCACCACAAGCAGAATTACATTCACCACTGTTAGAGCTGCAACGATCAACGATTAGTTGATAATAACTAAACCAATCGATTAATCAATTTGGTCCTTTTCTAAGCAAACATGTCAAACATCTGCTGGTTCCAGCTTCCTAAATTCAAGGATTTGCGGATTTTCTTGTCATTATTGATAGTAAATCTTTGGCTTTTGGACTGTTGGTGGGACAAAAGAAGCAATTTGAGGAGATCACTTTGCGTTCTGTGAAAATGTGATGAGCAATTTTCACTAACTAAATGATTAACGGTGTAAATAATCGACAGATCAATCAAGAAAGAAAATATAAATAATCTTTAGCTGTAGCCCTAAACTCTATTAAATCGGGGTGGACCCCACAGAAATCTCAAAACCTCAACAAATAAAAACAGCTATGTGAATCGCTAGATACAACGATCAGTGGGTGATGTAGGTGAAGCGACCCTTTAATTCCCAGTCCACCAAGTGATTAGCAAACCAACAAGAGTGTAATCAGAGGGAGTAAATCTACATAATACTATACTGCAACAGTCATCAAACAGGAACCTCACACGTACAGCACAAACACTTTATTCTAAGTCACTCTAGTATGTTGGCAGTATGAACTCTCGGCGTGCTGTCTTCATCCTCTCCCTTTCACTCGGACGTGGGGTCTCCTCTGCACACTTCCTCATTCAGTGAATCCGACCAGGAGCCAGTCTAGACTGTCTCTCCACAGCGTCGTCCCTTCCTGTGTGTCAGTACATCATATCCGTGTCACTCCTTCTCCTTAAAGCTGAAGTCACAAACCAGAGAGAGGTGGTCTGACGGATAGCTAAAGGAAGGAAGCCTGTTTGGCCCAATCTGTTCCTCAGTGGGCATGTCCAAAACTGCGTCCACTCTCAGTGTGTCCTGACTATACCAGATGTAGTCCAGAGTGGTACAGCATTCCCCTGTGGGCCGAATCTTCCATGTCGTGTACTCCGGCTCGGTCGATCCGTCCTGGCTGAGTTTCTTATAAGCCGAGTCCAAACCGAGAGGAGACGCTGTGAAACGTCGGTACACCTCCTCAGTGGGGATTGCGTTGAAATCGCCACATACGAGAAGAGGAATGTCAGAGTTAGGGGCACCCGTGGGCCCGCTGCCGTGTTTCTGGACCAGATTCTGGAGGTGTCGCAGGAGGTCGGAGCCCTGGGCGCTGCGGAGCCACTCCCAGCCAGAACGAGCCTTCAGGTGAGTCACGGCCACGCACAGGCATTTCCCTGTGCTCCGACAGCGTAGCATCATCACCACAGCAACCTGAGGCAAGAGAGCAGTGAGTTAGAGGTGCTAATGAGTAGGTTTTTATGTGTGGCTTCAAGCAGAGTCTACCCACCTGATTGGTTGGAATTCTCATAGCAGAGAGCCGTACGTTTGCGCTGTCCACAAACTCGTATCGCGTCTGATCGAAGAACAGCGCGCAGCCGTCGGGGCCGTTGTTGCCCTCCACATCCAGGCACGGCGACCAGGGTTTAGGGCAGAAGTTGCTGCTGTAACCCAGGCCTGCCAGGACCGGCTGTAAGGTGTCATAGTAGTGGTCGACTTCCTGCAGACACAGGATATGAGGTCGGTAGGTGAGGATCTCTTCTAAGATGAGGTACTTCCTGCGGGACCAGCTGAGGGCCTCCGGGGGACACTGGACAAAACTGTCAAGTCCCTCGCCCAGAGCTGAAGGACAGGAGAAAGAGGGACATCTGACTTCACTATAGAGTTAACCTCGAGTAGCTTCACAATACTCTGCAGTTTATGTTAGCAAGTGTTCAGTCTCCTTGTGTCTACGTCTAGTCAACATTTCACACAATTTTACTAAAAAACGTAAGATAGATCAGTGTGTAAATTAGAGAATATTCCAGTTCCACTTCCTGTGAAGTATAAATGGAGTTTTATGGCCACCTGAGGGCGTGTTGGTGTATTATCACCTTGTAAAGTTGATATGGCAACAACAGGTTAGTAAACAGTTGCTTATTTACGCATCCAGCAGACAAAGAGCAACATTAGCATTTCTTGATACCTGGCTTTAAGCTCTGTTTGTTGGGTTTTTATTTTGCTAGTTGCTATTTAAGATAGCTTAACTAATTGCCAACGTTGTCTGCTGTTTGGAGGCGAGTGGTGTACAGTGGTTTAATGGAGATTTTTCTCTGCTGTGACTGGAAACTGAGTGAATCAAAACAGCAGATTTGTGGGCCACAGAACCAAAACAATGACCTGAACAAGGCTAAAATGCTCTCTAGAGCTGAATGAAACTGCGAAAAGGTGACAATTATTTGAGTGACCCCATTCAGATTTCACATAGTCTTTTGATCCCATTGTTAATATTAAATTTCAATTTCAATTCAATTTTATTTGTACAGCACCAATTCATAACAGAAGAATATAAAAACATTGACTGGTGTAGCTTTAACTGGCTTAAGATTGAATGGAAGCAAACGGAGTGAAGAACGAGACCTGACATCTCAAACTTTGTTGTAGAACTGTTAACTTAAGTTAAAATGTGCCAGTAGATGCACAATCCAGTGTGATGCGATATAAAACTAAAAGCAGTCTACCTTGGGCCAGTATGTTCCACTGCATCACCCTGATGGGGCTGCTGGGGGCGCTGTCTCCATCATTGATGTGAGTGAACTTCCTGTGGAAGCGAGGTGGTCTGTCCCCGAGGGCCTCCTCACACTGACGAAGCAGCTCCACTGGATCGGACACCTTCTGCTCCTGCAAGACAGACCTGACACTGTTACCTTTATTTCCCCTCAGGAGGCAGATTTCTACACACACTGGAGTTTCTGAAAACTGTGAACAGAAGAGAAGGAGTCACCTGGCAGAAAGCTGGATCCAGGTTTGTGTCCACGGGAGGATGGGGCGAAGGGAGGGCGAGAGGAGAGCTGCTGCTGAGGGTCTGAGTCAGGGCGCCGTACAGCCTTGTGGCCCCCCCACCCATTGGACACACTGATTTGAAGACAAGGACAAAGTTGGTGAGAGGTGTGTGTGAGGATGGAGAGAAAATATAAAACATTCAACAGAAGTGTAATTCTAATGCCACATCTGTGGTGCAGCAGCTGGATTCAAAGGATTTTTTTAGTATTCTATTCAAGGCATTTGTTGACCTTCAGCTCAGATTATGTCTGCAGAGTCATCTGGAGCAACCAAACTGTGACAAATCCCCGCTTTATTAAATTCACATGATGACTAAGTGTTCCTGTTTCATGTCTCGGGATGACTGCACTCATCTCGCCTCTTGTCCCCCTTTAACATCTGTCCCCTCACATGTGAACCGAATCCCTAATGCAACCTAAAAATAACACTGATGCTTCCCAGTGACTGTCACAGGCTGACACTGAATATTAACAGTTTCAGCAGAGGAGTTGCTGACAAATAGCTTGCCACAACCGGCAAGAGTACAGAGCACTGACCTTATGAACCTCAATGTGTTAGCAAACAGCTGCTTCTTAACACATGAAGCAACACTGACCAACATTAGCATTTATCAGAGATGGGAAGTAAAGTACAAATACTTAAACACCCTTGCATTTGAGGGGAATTATTATTTTACATCATTGCATGCCTTCCCTGCATCAAGACTGTTGCATATCACGTATGGCAGTCATTTGAAAACTAATATAATTCAAACATTCACTCTTCTTTTAGCTAAACTTTTGGTCTTCATGAACTCCTGAGGGAAATACCTGGCTGTTAAATGCTCTGCTTTTGTTTCACTGAAACCACCAGCCAGCTGTGCCTGAAATGCCACATGTAATACTGAATTAAAATATTTTAGTTGCAGGTCGTAAAACCAAAACAATGGTGGAGTTGGTGGAGAGCAATGACTAAAGTGCTCCATAGAGCTGAGGGGAGCTGCAGAGTTGGGTGATCTCTGTGGGTTTGTCACTATGAATGACCCGTCACATTACGCAAAGCCATTAAAGCCATAGTTAATAAATATATTGATTATACCAGCTTTATGTGGCATACATAAACTCCCATACTGCCCGATAACCAGGCAGCCTTTTCATTTTCAAGGGAGGCAACTTTCAATTTTAAATTGTAGGGTTAAGTTTGCGGAGGTCACACCCCGTTGATAATAAGCACTGCCATGTGTGCACACACACACACACACACACACACACACACACACACACACACACACACACACACACACACACACACACACACACACACACACACACACACACACACACACACACACACACACACACACACACACACACACACACACACACACACACACACACACACACGCCATCTGTTCCTCTGGTTTCTACTTCCATGAGTATTCAACATGGTGGCTGTTTGTTTGTGAGAACTTTGAACAGCAGGTCAAACCAAAGTGGGTCAAATTGACTGGTACTTCACGCAAGAGACATCAGACTTGTTCAACTCCAAATGGTGCAGATAATACAATGCAAACGTTAATATTACGTTTTAATTAAATGTTATGACAGCATTAGTTAGCCGACTGTTTGCATTTCCAGCAAGAACATTACAAATATTTGTGTTATGTAGTTATGGTTTGTGCTTTCATTTTCTAAAAGCAGTCATTTTTCAGTAATTGTATGCCATAATTTGTTTCAACAAACTAATTTAGACTTAACTTCTCCTGGGCTCCTCTAGACCAGAACTATATGACTGTAAAAGGAGAGATCAGACACAGTTAGACCACTGATGTTTAGGATCTGTCCAGTTTTACGTGTGAGTGAGCGAGTACAGGACTTCAGTGACGAGAGCCGCCACCACTGTCATATAAAACAAACCCTGGTGCGTTTAAATAAACATACACAGACTTTTTACTCTTTCAGACATTAATGTTAATAATTATAAGGCTCCATGTTTATCCATACATGTGCCAGCAACAGCCAGACTGAATATGGCGATTAAATCCACGCTCTCTGCTGCACAGCATCACTGTCGCTCCTTCCACCTCTGATCTTTGACTTTGTACATTCAAACTGACACCAGTCATGTATATACGATAGATACTACACATCCAAACATGACCTCATCCTCAGTAAAATAAAGAATAGCTGCCTCTTACCCATAGTCTCCATCACTGTCCACAGCTATGTCCACTCTGCACTTGAGTAAATTGTCCTTAGCACCTCCTTTTAACACTACTCTTACTGATACTGTATGTGACTATCAGCTGATCTAAGATTCCTGGCTTCCCTGAAAGTGTTTTCACTGCAAAAGGAGACAGTGACAGATGTGTTTGTCTCTGTGTGAATGTGGAAATCTGACTGCTCACTGCTGCCTATAAAGCCTCGGGGAGGGGGGAGAGAGAGAGAGAGAGAGAGAGAGAGAGAGAGAGAGAGAGAGAGAGAGAGAGAGAGAGAGAGAGAGAGAGAGAGAAGGAAGTATAGACGTCATCAGGCCATATGGAGTATTACAGTTCATGTGCTAGTGAGGAAGAGGGGGATACACTGCGCAATCCGAACCCCTGCCCTCTCACAGTTACCCGCACACACACACACACACACACACACTAACAAGCGGAGTGCGTGGCGGATAGGTTACTGATTGTATCTGGAGATTTGTTGCATCGTCACCTGAACACTGAGCAAAAGCATAAAGACAGAGCAACATGGAGACACACCCTCACAAACACACAATCCACTTTCAATGGGTCACAGTTTGTTAATGATTTCCAAATATTAACTTCTGTACAACAATGACTGCATGAATGCACAAACATGCTGAGTGTGTGTGTGTGTGCATATTGCAATAATAACTTCCTCAGTTTGCATGTTGTAACAGCACTCAGGTCCCTTTGATCATAACTCATCGTCACTAATGGTACGTCAATGTTCAGTGTTGTTTTCCATTCAAAACATTGTACTTTTCCAAACTGAACTAAATGTAATCATTATTTGGGCTGGAATAAAATTTTGTCATTGACACAGTATATCTGTTCAAGGCCTCGCTAAGGGATCGCGGCAAAAGTGTGAAGAGTCATGAGATTTAAGAAAATACATTTTTGCAACACATTTCTTTTCAGTTTTTCTCTCTTTTTGTGAAATATTGGATTGTTTTGCCTCTTCAGGTCAGTAAAATCTATTTAAATGATACATTAGTCTGTAGCTCAACCACACACTACCTAGAGACATGCAAACTGTGACAAGAAGTCAAGTCTCAACTATTGGGAGGACTGCTAAGATCACGGTCCCTACAGGATGAATTGTACTGACTTTGGTGAGCCATCAGGGGGTAAACATTTTTGTGTATCATCATCATAATTGTAAAATCTCAACATCTGGATGAACTGGCACCAATTGTTGGACAGACATTTAGTCCTATTGACTTTAATGATGCCCTGACTTTCTAGCGCCACCATGAGGCTGACATTTACAGTTGTGCAACTATGTAGATTGATTGTCATGAAATTTCATACAGAAATGAATTGTTCCCACAAGATAAATTGTAATTATTTTTCACAATGCGCCATCATCAGGTCAGAGTTTCAATTTATGTAGTACCAATACCTGAAAATCTAAAGTCTCAGCTGTATTTGTTTAGTGCTGAATAGCAAATGGCAGGATAGTACAACTAAACTAAGATGCTGAAAATGGTAAACATTGTACCTGACACACATCTGAATATTAACAATGTCATTGCGAGGCGGCAGACGTTCATTTAGCTCAAAATACAGCCTCACAGAGCTGATAGCGTGTGTTGTGAGTGATTTCCCTCCCTTGTTTTATTTGAATGATTTGTAGAGATTTTTTTTCTGTTAATCATTTCATGCTACCCTCAGATTTCCCTTGAAAACCACTGTTTTTAATCAAAGCCATAAAGGTTGTGAACCACTGGCAGTATTGTCTGTGAACTCTTGTTTTTAACGGCAGTTATCAGAGTATAGCACACGTAAAGCCTACATGTGAGTCTTTTGTAGATCAACAGAAGCATAATGAAAACCTGGATTCTTTTTTCCTGTAAGAAAAACAAACAGGACTCATCAACAGCTGTCAGTGCGAGTATGTTGAATCAAAGTGGGAAACTGTGTTCGGGGCTAAATCAGCATTCTGCAGAGACCTCTGTGAAACATCCACCTGTTCCTCTATGAATACCAATAAGACTGTCATCTCCGTGATCCAAATCATTCTGATGCTTTATGAGCAGAGACAAAGCGATATCGTTCCTCTCCTCTCCTTAATCCAACAGAGTGTCAAGGAGCCAACGTTTCCAGTTCCTCTGTGTTGCTTTGACGTCAGTGTGTCAGTGCACAGCTGAGCACACAGAATGAAAAGCTGACTTGTGAGTGATGACTCACGTCTTCGCGTAGATGCAAGACTGTACAGTCACTACACATTGCCACACAAGTCACAACGCTTTAAGGCAGGCGCCAGCGTGATACCGAAGACCTCTTTACTGAACGACAAGATTTCTACAGCATGGAGGTTGTTTTGTTACCAAACAGCAAGAGAACAAATCATTTTCCACAAGAGCCACAAGCAACAGAGCCAAAGAGCATTCATTGATAACGTATGTGTACATGTGTGTTTGTATGTGTGTGTGTAAGCTGTTAGGGCAGTGTGACTCACATCCTGTAGACAACCTCTTGTGGGTCCACGCAGAATAATTTACTGTGCTGGGGAGGGAGGGAGAGAGAGAGAGAGAGAGAGAGAGAGACTAAATCCTTTTGTGGCATAGTGACATTTACACATTGAAGGGCAGCTGCCTCATTACATTACAATGTGTGTGTGTGTGTGTGTGTGTGTGTGTGTGTGTGTGTGAGAGCGAGATCAGCTGAAACAATTTCACTATGATTTATTATATTAATGAACTCAACCCCTCTTTAAGTTATTTAAAATTCAAACTAAATGCTAATTTGACTCTCTTTAATCTGTAACAAATTACAAATGCATGTCGGTAGTTCAAATGTATTATGATATTGTCACTATTTTTTTCCCCTTTTTTTCTTTGTTTTAATTATTTCACTTTTTGATGTATCTAGTTTCTTGTTTGTTTGTTTTTATCTTGTTTTATGTTAGTGAATTGGTATGACTATTTTCTTATAAATAAATAAATTTAAAAACAAACACAAAAAACTTCTATTTGTGATCTTTAAGTACCACTATTACTATGACAAACAACTTTTCCCCTTTTGAATCAATTGACAGATCTGTATCTGACAGTATAACATTACCTTCTGGTTATCCTACCAACAGTCGAGTTTCAAACTAAATATGTAGGAAATATGAGGGGTATGGAGGAGTCAATTCTGTTCCATTTTCCAGGAATAATTATTCAATCAAATAGAATAGTTATTTTAAACCATAAAAGAGGTGTTTCGATGACTGGAAAACTCCAAGTGGGAACCCTGATGGACTTTGCAGCTAGCATTGCTAATGGAAAATAAATATGTATTTTGTTGAGCGACTTTAAGCAGTTTGTTTACGTTTAAGTCAAGACTTGATGTATAACCATAACCTGTATCATATATTTACGACTGAGTATTAGGGCAAATAAGAGAACATATTTTATTATTTTAAATTATCAGAATAAAGTCGTAATAATACAAGAATACTAATGTTTTAATGAGAAAAAGTAAATTAACATGAGTGACGTGAGCGCCAACCAATCAATCCTGAGCGCGCCGCTCTTTGTCTCAGTGCAACGTACATCAAGGTAAAGTTTTGTGTTGTCATTTCGGTGTTAAACAGTTTTGCTGGCTGAGCAACAGGCTGACAGTTCTCATAAAATTACAACTTTATGCTTGCAATATTATGATTTTATTCTCGCACTATGATTTTTTTGTGGTGGGGCTTTATTCTCGCAATATTATGACTTTACGTAGAATGCAAGTTTCTATTGGTTCGGTTTGATTCTGGACCTAATATCATGACTTAATTCCGCAATATTATCACTTTTCTTCTCCGACTTTGTGCTCGTAGACCTAATATTATGCTTTATTCTTGTAATATTATGCCTTTATTCTTATTGTAAAATATTTTTTTTTTTTCTTTTTTCTGTTCAAGTTTTTTAATTCAAGCAACATTCATTAGAAACAGTTCTCCCAAGTATATGCCATCTCATTTCAATATATCACTTAAGATCAGTTAATCTTGCACTGACCTATAGTGCAGATGTGTAGGCTGTGACGTGTTTGGTGATTGTTCACATGTGAAAATTCATGTGAGACCATAACGAACAACATCATATGGCAACATTTTGTTTTGTGTATGAATTCTCAAAAACATTGTATCAACTAAGGGCTATGATGTTGGATGTTACAGGGACTGTGATAAACAGATGCAAATCACACTGTTTTGGTTGCATTAAGAAATTAAACTTTAAATATTTTTGGGGCTTTATTGCCTTTAAGTGATAGTGACAGCTGTATAGGGACAGTAATAGGGGATAGGGATGCTACACAGCAAAGGGCCACAGGTTGAAGTCCAACCCACGGCCACCGCAGCAAGGACTCAGTCTTGGTACATGGGGTGCCAGCTCTACCAGGTGAGCTACCAGCCAGGGCACCCCTAAAAAACAACAACTCAGATTTGTGAATGGTGGCGTGTTCTTTATACTATGACAGTTTTCCTAAAATGAGATTTAGAAATAGAAATCACAATATATTGCTTTGCTCACAGTATAATATATTGAGCATAACCCCTGTATCGTGACGCGTATCATATTGCGAGACTCATGCCAATACGCAGCCCTCGTGCTGCTGATGAATAAGTTCAGCATTTAGAGACCTAAAAGTTTTGTATCTTCTTTGTAAATTACTTCAGAAGACACAAGACTTCACTATCATGGGTCAAAGTCAACATGAAAACTGGTTAATTGGTTCAAAAAATAGTCACCACTGATTGAAGGTTGTGTCTTCAAAATTACAAACGAAACTAAAGTCAACCTAAAAAAAAGCTGGTTTGATCTCGGCTGAGTGTGTAAAATACAACACATTACATAATTCAAAGAAGTTTCTTACATTTTACATGAGAATGTCCTTCAACTGAAGATAACAAGAGGCAATTAACAGTAAAATGTACAGATGTACAGATGAGTTTGTGATACAAAAAGAGTTGTGTTGTGGCATCTATCACACACAGACATAATACCACAGATAATATAATAATGACACACATAAATATGTTGTAACAACCTGATCACAGATCGTACAGCTAGCCGCCAGATCACAAGGCACAGAGGAATTCAAAGGAAAGTTGACTTCATGATTATCTAACAAGACTTACCTTCTTTACTGGTATAAACTTCTGATTTCCCTTCAAACTCCTCATGTGCTGCTGCTGCTGCC